TTTAACGATTCAAATTATAAGCTGGCAAGTCGTGTATTGTTGCCCCGAAATAAAATGCTGGCAATATGATGTACGTATAATACTGATTGGCTTGCAAAGGTATAAAATACAAATATACAATCTTTAATTTATAAAAGTTCACATCTTGTTTTTGTTGTTTTTTTTAATTTCTGAGTTCCTACGTAATAGTGTTGTTTATTATGTAGCCATTCACCATGCTAAAAATATAATGATCTATAGATTTAAACATAAATGTATATGATACTGACTATGTTACCTAAGTTAGTGCAATCATCATATTAAATTACCGGTAATTATTAATATAACTTTTCATTTGCCTGTTTCTTAGCATTGCCCTAGCATTTATTTATGTTGTCCATACATATATTTAAGAGACTTTTTTTAAATATTTTGTATGTTCTTTATTTTCATATAAATACTTGGCTGCAATTTGGTACGCATTTTATATCTTTATTCCCATCTTAGAGATAAAAGAAGCTTTATTCAGCCTTAGAAAAATGCATTTTAAATGTTTGCACACAAACAGAAGCCGAATTGATGTATTTATTGGTTGGACACTAGCATACTTACATTAACAATCGCATTAAGATGCAATAATAACGGATATCTTATTTCAAAATCTGACAAGGGAAAAAAGGAATTTTATATTATGTTTTGCTGAATTTGCTCCTATACTCATGTGTATGTTTATTATGTTGCAGTTTATATTCAGTTCACAGTTTACATGTAAATTCGATGCCAAAATACATGCATGGTTACTAAAGTAAATTTGTATGTACGACTAGCTTAATGTGTCAAATGATTATCGAATTTAAAATGCAATAGGTGGTATACATAACTGAGGTAAAGTTATACCATTATAAATATAATTATATTGTTTGTTTATTGTTTGTTTTTTTTTTTTTTTTTTTTTTTTTTTTTTTTTTTTTTTTTATGTTACAATTACTGAAGACAATTTTTGTCGAGTATCTATTTATAGAATCCGACATAAGAAGAACTTAAATTTATTTGGTTCTGGTTAACTTTGACAATCAGTCAGTATATTTCGTGTATATGAATGATTATGATTTGCCTGTTTTTGACAGCTTTCATTATTATAATATTATGCACGTACTTTAGGTTGCCTGTCGTGAAGGATGGCTTAGAAAGGCCATTCTATATAACATATATTTGGTACGCTTAAAATTCTTTATTTCCTAAAATGTGTCATCCGTGTAGAAAGGTCAAGTTGTATACGGTTGGCTTCATAATTTGTTTATTTTGAAAAATCATAAACGTTTAATAGACAGTGCAGAAGGGTAAATAATAAATGCACAAAGCAAAGAAGCATTGTATTAGCGCGTTTATGATAGCAAATCAAATACAACCTTTACCCAAGTTTCAGTACATTTTCATAATCTGTATAGTATCTTAGATCTGGATAAGCCTCTCGAAATAGCATCATAACATAACACTTGTAGCAATTAATCAAGATTTGTCTGATGTTACGTCATGCAAGCTGATTGTTCAATTGCTTTATGAAACAGTACCTAATGATTACTATAGAATAACACTTCCATGTACGACATCTACTTTCGATAATTCTGCAGTAGATGGACTATATAGCAATACGACATATTTACAAATATATCAAGCCAACCGACACATAAATGCATTCAGCATCAAATAAACTTAAAACATGCAATGTATATAAATATATATGTTAGAAATAAACCTTTGGATTTTCATTGGTAATCCTAGGCATTTATAGACTGTTATACATCAAAAGAAAAACACTTTCATAAAATCTGCCCCCTCCCCACCAAATTTTGCATAAGATACTTGGACATGCTGATATTGTGATAATTTGGTACTTTTGATGTGAGAGATGCTGATCCCGACTAAAGTCTAAACTAGTTATTCAAATTTTACTTGTATCATGGTATGTGAGCAATTATCTATATATTTATAATTATTGACATGCTGAAATATCGGAGACTCTATGTGGTGGAAGAAAAGATTTACTACTTTCAAGTTAATGCAAAGCCTATTCATATGTCATTCACAATCTTTATTATGGTGTTTATGTTGCTTTGAACACGTTGTTGCTGAACTATAACACAAATGCATGGATATGAATTTCGAAAGTAGAAATTTTATCGTATCTTCTTTTGTTTACTCACAAAAAATAGCATTTATGTCATACCTTCATTACATTTGAACATCTCTACCTTAGTACAAGACTGAACAAAATCAGCAATATTTTGTTACATTATCCAAATCCCCTTTGAATTATTTATTTTGTGTTCATTTTTGCTTTTTTGCTCAAATTGTACCCCCTGTAATAATTGATAACTTTATTACCGGGGAATTGATCTGGTAAACATCATCGCTAAAACATATTTTCATACTTCAATCAGAAACCCATCCGTCATATTTGTCTATTTAATTAGGCAGACGATGGAAAGAACTGACATATTGACAGACATTATATTTTTTATATTAAAATATAATCATTAACTGATGAAGATTAAACAAAATGGCGTATTATTTCTCAATATAGTCTTCAACATTTCAAACATGTTTTCGCTTAGGCCAAACGCATTCTTTTACCTTGGAATCATTCGTCGCTTGTCATAGAATTTCATGAAAGTGCCACATTGAAGGTTCTGTGATAACCGCAGTAAGAATACATCTGCAGATGTTTCTAAATTGACAATTTCACCATTTACATGTTTAAATACTGCTTAAACCGGTGCTAGGGGCGTGGACGATAGCTTACAATTACCACTGCCGTCCATAAACAGGCTTAATCAAACTGGGTCTGCAACATTTTCAATTTTGTTGTTTTGGACGTTCTTTAGGAGTTCCGTTTTTCTCTATTTTAATATCCGGCAAACCAGTTAAGCATATTTATTCCCCATGTATGAGGGAATGTTTATGGAATATAATTTCAACACAACAGTAGCAATAATGAATTATGTGTTTTATGTGGCAGTTATGATAATAAGTTTAAAAAAGAAAGCACATTATAATGTATTCCCCGGTAAATGTAAATATGTGAAAACCATTTTTATAAAAGTTATTGTATGATAGCTTTTTCATGTGCAATAATGGTATGGCGTTAGGAAAGTCTTCATTGCTCAATTTATAAAGGAATCGGAAGATTTCAATTGTATAACTTCGCATTTCAGTTTTGCTTTCTAAAACGACAAATATGAACTGGTGCAAAACTTCAACTGACATGCATTTCTTACTATAATATAAAAGACATCATTTCTTTTTCAATGGAATATAAAACAATCTCTTAAATTGCCATGCTGATGTTGTGGGTTTTTAAGGTATAGAACTTAAAAAGGTATATATTTTCGTTTCCTGTAACAAAATCCAATCGCATAGTCTCTTACTTTATTATATTATTAAGCATCAGATATCACTATGTCTGACCTTAACAATTTTATTCCTGTCTTTTTATATATCGTAACATTTAAGGAACTGTAAAAATATTATATAAAACACTTTAAAATGACTTATTTTCCCTCAATTATATCATTCCCCTTTTTATGACGGAACACATTTGTTTTGGCTTATTAATTACCAGTATGGTGGTAACATATAAAATACATTTCATACCTCTACAATGTTTTCATTTTTTATTTCAAAAACGTTTTTGATATTTATATCATGAAGAACTAGACAAATCAGTGCAAAAAATGTTGAATAACAACGATATGCAAGTAAAGTGTATTTTTATTGGAATCAGTTTTTTTCTTTATCTTTTTAGTGTAAGTTGGGGATTATGTTGCATTATATTAACATAGTACACGTAATCATTTAAGTATCTATAAAGTCGAAATTCTAATAATTACATTAAACATACGAATCGTGATATAATGGGTATTTATGTGTATTTATTATACAGCAGGGATAAATATTGCTTTTAAAATACCTAAGTAATTATAATTATGGTTTGATTTTTTACAGTTTAAATGCAGTATAACAAAAACTTTTGTAATATTTGATAAATTATCAAAGACTAAAATATTAAATAATTCTGATACAAATGTGAAATTCAATAATTAACTTCTTATAACAAATAAGAAAAATGCATCGTCATACTTAACAAACCTTTTCTCTTTTCGAATTGTTATCCAGACCAGCTTTTTAGTAACACATTGTATGAGAATTATAATATTAAATATTTATGATGTTTTGTATACATATTTGCAAACCTTGATATGTTAAACTAGCGTATACTAGTTTGTTCTATGACAGACAGGATTCACCTTTCTGTTTATTTATAATGAAGAGCGCAATATTTAACCGGAAGAATCTACATAGTAGTTATATGTTGGTTTTGATCATAATAATGAAATAATAACACTGTTGTTTGTAACAAAAGCCAGGCAAGTTTTACAAAAGCCAGGCAATTTTTGCTATGTTATGTTATGTTATGATATTTATTTATGTTATTTATTTTTATTCACATACAAACGTATTAAATAGAATTTGCACGATAGTTAGATGCAGCTTCAAGCTTTCTCCTTATAGATAACCTGTAAAGTTCACTTTAGTAAATTTAAGTTTACAGTGTTTTGTCTTAATTATCTTAATTGTCTTAATTATGTCTGCAAATATTTGTGTGTACTTTGTATGTTACATTGTTATTGAAAATAATTGTTGTTTAAACCAAAACCAAAATCTTACGGACATGGGGAAAAGGTGTAATTGAACCATGTGGTTCTTAATTCAATCATAATGTTAAACAAAATTGGCTTGAACTTTCAATTTTCTATCTACATTGTACATTTTAGACCATAGCTTATCTGAGGTGAAACTTACATTTTTGAATAAAGAAAGAGAAACATTGGTGTATTTTCAGTGCATAAGTAGTGCGTAAGAATTGCAAGAACTATCGGGTATATATTTACACTATCTTACGTGAGAGAATGTGAAAATTTTACCTATATTATACTGCACACCTTCCGAGTTTATAAATTAGTCTGCGCGTTACGTTGATGAATGTAATTAGTACTACATTTGTTCCATCAAATTAACATGGAATCCTAAATTTGTTTGACATGAAATATACAAGAAAGTTTTGGAACAAATAGACTATGTGGTTTGGAGTACATTACATGTATAAATCCCCGATATATTAAAGTTATTGAAATGTAGACCTGGTGTGCGCATATTTGGATTGATAATTTTGCTCTATTTCGGATTTGTGTGCATGAATAAAATGAAAGTAGTGATTTTACCTAAACAAGGATGCGTTCTTTATCAGCCGAGGAATTGAGGTACATGACTATATATATACGAAATTGTAACATATCCAAGTTGAAACAAAAAGATACAATTCGATTGTTTTTAGAATTTTTTTAATTGATTTCTTAATAATTCTCTTTTTATTCAAACAAATCACATTTTTTACACACATTTGTCTGATTAAAAGTGTATCAAAGCAATATCTGAATAATAATATCAGATAAGTTACAGGAAAACGAGAAAATGACGGTAATTGAACAAAGTGTTTTTGTTTTTCCTCTAGATTACATCGGAAGAACAAAATCATCAAAAACGATAAACACCTTACAGTATATTATTATAATTCTATCGAATCTCTATCAACCATATTTGTTTATTAACTAGATCAATTAAGTATTATACCCAAGAATGTGTAGTTTTTGAACTCATGTATGTTACCATATGAATAGAGATTCTTTTAATTATGTGCACAATGTTTGCTTACGTCCTTAATATGTCTTTACCGCCATCACCCAAAACTATGTGAGGTGTGCGCTATTCTCTCCGAATGTCGAAGGAATATGAAAAATAAGTCATGCAAATCACTCATTGTAATAAATGAGATAAGCATCAGCTATGTGTTAATGATGCTGATAGTCTTACAATACACCTGGGTAAATGAGAAGTCTTTTACGTAAAACGAGGAAACATACTTTCAGTTCTACACTATCTCAATTGAAGTTAAAAATCCGTCTTGAACATATAATGTCATCATTGAGTCTTTGAGTAATCCGTTGAGATGCTTATACTTCATTTGCAATTACGTATCAAAGAAGTAGCTTTTCCTGCCGTGTGGAGTTTGATAAAAGGTCCATGATTGATTACATGAGCAAAAGTGGCGGTCACATTTTATTGAAAATTCACACTCGTTGTATGTGGAGACTAGCGCCATAGAGACAGGATAACTCATGTTTTTGTAAAAAAATATTCATGTAAAATGTACTGTTATGAATGTAGTAATATTCGAATGGGGGTTGAGCATTGATTCTTTGTGTAAGTCAAATGGCCCTGAGGACATTTCTTATCATATCTATAGCAAGTTTATTTTATTATTCTTGGACAAAGCATACAATCACTAAACAAGTGTCATACTGGGCTCTCACACAAAAGTATGACAACGACCCTAAATAACTTTTACCTTCCACATCAAGGTCAAATGTAGGTCGATTTGTGTTGGTGAGTTTTGTTTTGTGTTGGTTTTTTTGTTGTTGTTTTTTTAAGAAATTTCTATCTTGATATTTTTATTTTGTATACCAAATTGAATAAAAAAAACATATCTTACTAGGGATAAATATGTTGCAAACTAATAGATCGCATGTCAATGAACTAAAATTATAATAAATAATAAATTATAATAATTTTATATACATTTAATCGATTTGTGTGTCCAGCATTATTTTTTATAACATTAAATCAGGTGGTTCAACTTGAAAATCTTATTTTTGTTTTTGTTTATTTACGACAGCATTGACGTCATGAATATCGTTATCAGTGTAAATAAAATCGGTGAAATGATTGCATTGATATTTTTATAATGGGGATTTTAAGATTGTAGACAACAAGTGTTTATAAACACTCGGTTGATGAGAAATATGTGAAGCAAGTGGCACTTTGAAACGTATAAACATGATTTTTGTTTGTAGTCATGCATCTAAAGTGGATACTTCTTCATGCCCGTTCGTCGCCAACTGTATTGCTGGTGTAACAATGTCACAATAGGGACTACGATGGGATACCAGGCCGACCACAATTGCTATCTAAAACAACCAACAACTCAGAACAGAAAAATATATACAAATTTATTTACAGAAATGAATATTTATAAATGAAAAATGATTATATATGATAAACTACTATGATAAGTCACTGCACAAACAAACACTATCAACGTATCTCAGTCTATTTCTCCCGTAAAGTTTCTGTCATGATGCTTCAATAAAGTGGTGGCGTTGTTGAACAAAATTCGTCACAATGGCGGGCGTCTTGTATAAAATCTTATCAAGCGTAACTGTACTTCCTACAGTGTTGGCACAGTTGATAGGATCCTGAACAAGGGCATGCGTCACCCTTTAGCCATGGACATACGTGTGGAGGGCCCGTGTCATCTTCGGGTGTGTCCTCAAATAAGAAGCTACAAAGTATAAAACATGGTAAGTTCCATGATAATCAAACATAAGGGTATAATAAAGTCCCTTGGAAAAGACTCGACCTTTGTCGGTTTCCAATAAAATAACGTGCTTCTTTGAATAAACAAAATGTCCACTATAGTACACCATACATTCCGTGGAACAAAAATTCAATCACATCCGCATAATACTGCGTTGCAAATATATTCAAATATACGCCACATAATAACCACCAATAAATAAACGTCTTCCAAAATCATGCCACTGAAGATCCTTCTCTAGAGATACGTTAGTTTTGATACGTTGTATTTACTTATAACAAAAACTGATGATAAATGAAATGAAGTAAGATGATAACGTAAATTAAATTGATTGAAACAAATCATTACGATACTGCAGCATTTTACATAAAGTTACACAAATACGGTAGAACCATAATAAATTATTTATGAATAGATATATATATCTATAAAATATTCATGGCTCCTATACAATTACAATATAATTAAAACTTCAATTAACATACATCAATTAACATGTCTCGGTATAAATTTGCAAAAGCGAAACACTAGAATAAAAAGAGCTTTTAAAATTTAATCTGCAAAAATTTAGAAAATTTAGAAAACAATAAATTACTGCCAAATAACTAAACCTGAATCAAATAAACTATAATTCTAATAGCAAATAGTATTTTATGAAATAGCAAAAATTTATGAAACAAAATCACTAGAAAATTAAATTTACCTTGTACAAGCTGTAATTTTATGACAAATATAATTTGTCTGTCACCGTCATAGTGACCTGTATAACGTCCAGTGCATTGCAATATAACACTTAAAATTTAGTCAATATATAGCAAACTACTGAGTACTGAGCGGGAAAACGGATCGTGCTAAACATGAAAAATCGATTTGCACGAAATAAAGCTGGGACGGCGGGAAAAATAGTTATGTGAAATAAAGGCCCGTCCTTCAAATACAGACATAATACATATATCTGGTTCATAAAACAAAAATGTAACTTTCTTATTACTGAAAGGATTTTTGTGAAATAAACGGCAAAATGTTTAAATTGAGACATGGAAATTTATGCAAACCATAAAAATACTCTAAATAATAATTTCACCCGAAAACTCTAAATTAAACAAAAGATGATGCAATCTCACATCAATGAATATAGAGTAAAAATGAGGTTCGGCGTGAAAATATAATGCAATATTTTACAAACGTACTTTCACTTTGTGACAAACAATAGTTTAGTTTGATGTTCCGTAATAGCTAAAAGAGAACTACCTTTAAAGCGTTTATAATTATTATCATGTAGAAAGTAAAAATAAGCTTTAAAGACGTATGCAGTACGTCTCGGGAACATTTTTTTTTTCTTTAAATGCCCTTTATGCCTCAACAACGCTATCACTTTTATATCTCAAAAACGTTTTAATTGTTTGTAGCTTGTAACTGTTTTTACAGAAATACACGTTTGTCATATAAATGGAAACACTTAGTTAATATAGCTCTGTTGACACTCGGTATACATGTAATTACAGAGAATTACTACTATGTATGGAAGTCAAAATACTACAGAAATTTTGTTCACATTTTGTTACGCTTAAGTCAAGTGCTTCCTTTTCAGTTGTAAACATCCAGCATGCTCTAAATCAATTATTCAATAACAATTATTAAACACGTAGGCATTATGTGGCTTTAAAAAGGCAAACATTAATATTTAAAATATTTAGAATGTTTAAATAATGGTTTTAGAGCATGTCACATGCTTATCGGCTGCAGAAAGTACCATTAACTCTACCTGAACTATGCGAACAACCAACACTATCAAGAAATTGTTCACGTATAAAGCCATTAAATATTTTTTTAGAAACAAGAACATAGTCCAATGTCATAAAGTTATTCTCTGAGCTCAAACTCATATCTTAGGTATTTAATTGGTCAGAAACTGCCATAAAATGTACATTGATCAATGAAAATCCTGAGATTTGAGACAGAACTCGAAAAAAAATGTTTTATAACCTCCAGTCCTGGACACCAAAAATAAAAAGTTTTTTAGAAATAAAACAAGTATTTCCGAGACAGGTTTACATAACCTCTGATTCATAACCTCTGATTCATAACCTCTGATCCCCTTTCAAATTTCCATGCCAATTGTTTTCTCGTTTAGGGCACACGCATTATTTTACTTGGGGACCATATGCCGCTTTTCATGGAATGGCACTAACGTGACACATTGAAAGTTCCATGATAACCGCCATATGAACACATCTGCGGATGTTTCAAAATTCCAAATTTTACCAGTTCATGTTAAATGTTGAATACTGCTTAAGCCGGTGCAAGGGGGCGTTGACGGTAGTTTGCACTTACCAGTACCGTCCATGAACAGGCCCAATCAAACCGAGCCTGCAACATTTTCAGTTTTGCCGTGTTGGGCTTTCTTAAGTGATTCTTATTTCTCTCTATTTTACACGTCATCACAAATAACGAATGTGTTACTCTATAGGTGATGAGTTTTGTATTATTTTGGAATTTTCTTTTTATTCTCTCGAAATTCCGTTACATAGAGAAGAAACCTGTACATTATACCTCTTGATAGATAAATCTGTTACCTCTGCGGTGTTGCTTTTTATCTATTCATTTTCTCATTACTATCTTGCATTCTTCTATAATACCAGTATCATAAAAACAGATTCGTTGTGGAAGATCAAACACTAATTGACCAGAACAGTTTTATATCATTTCATTTAGGGGTAAACTTAATGGCAATGAAAAACTGATTGTTTTGCTTTGTTTTCAATTACAACAAAAATGTACCAAGATAAATATTCTACATTGTCGTGCTTGTTGTTTATTTGACATACATAAACTTGGATGAAACTGGTCAACTTTGTGTGCATGGATTATGGAACTTTGCTGAAATACAGTCAAAAAAGTGGAATTGAAACAATCACGAACATACATATAGAAAATAATTATATTTTATCGTTAATGTATTTCAGGAAAACACTGGGATGGTGGCTAGTGCTATCTATTTTCGCCGCAGGCGTTGGCCTCACTTACATGCGTACCTTAGATTCCTCTCCGTTCGGATACATCACCGCCAAAACGAACGCTACCTATGATTACGTCATAAGTAAGTACAATTGTTTCAAACTTACGTTATCACACAGCTGCGTGAGATCTAATAAAAACTATTTACGAACACCATACATAATGTAACTAGAAACAGGAAAAAACACTTTATGAACCGGTGTTTGGCTTCACTCCGGCAAAAAATGAAATTCGATTCAAAACCCAGGTGCGTTATGTATATTCAACTGTCAAATTATCCCTTTTAACAAATAATCTAAGATTTACTTTTTTGCTAGTTCTTTGATATAGAAATATTATGTGTTACCCATTGTTAATTGGAACGGTTCTTTTTATATAGATGTATAACTTGTTCACATAGAGATGTATAACTTGGAAGATATATGTCTAAAGTTGGAGCAAAAGCTTTCGTTTTATAATAGAAAATACAAAAGGAAAATTATACATGCCATAATAGTGACGAATACACGAAAATTAACTATATCTTCAATTATGTTAAAAGATTTGGGCACATTTCATGATTATAAGATTAATCTGTAAGTCTTTCGTAAACTTCTTATTCTGTTGTTTCCATCTTTAGCACCCTATATCCCAACCTCTTATAATATATTCAGATAAAAATAATTTCTGTTATCTCTGACATGTCAACTTATCAATTAATTGTACATTTGTCATAAAGTTGGAGGCGGTGCCTCGGGGAGTGTTTTGGCCAGCAGATTGTCTGATGACCCTCGGCTCAACGTCCTTCTCCTCGAGGCCGGAGGTGAGGAGTCAATAGACATGTGGAATCATGTACCGCTCTGGAACCCTATACAGCACGGATCACCGGCAGACTGGAGTTTTCTAACCACCTCACAGAAACACGCGTGTAAATCTGCCAAGAATCAGGTAAAAGGTGAATTATTTTGTAAATGTAAGTTATTGTTTTTAAATAAAGTCAACATAAAACCTACAGGCAAGCGTTATATATAAAAAGTAAAGCATTTATTCTTTTAATCTATATAATATTTATACTTATACATTCATAGTTCCGTGAAATTAGCATGGTGATATACACTAGAGATGTTTTCAGAGGCATAAGTGCTTCTTCTGTTTAATGTCGACTACTTTAAATAAAGCTTTTTGTTCATTGTTATTTTATTGACTTTTAAATTACATTTGAACAATTACCAATGTTGCACATTTGCCAATGATAGGAATGCAAAATCACTCAGAATACAGGAATATACATTCGACTTTAGTTATACATATAATAGGTTTCTTCTGTTTTGTCTGTAATTGCAATATCAGCAGCTGAACAGATTGAAATATCTGCTGGTAAAATGTTTAATTACCCAGTTTAAGGGCGTAATTACGTATTTCGCACGAGGGATTACTACATTCAATCAAATTATTTTCAAAAGCTTAAGTACAACAGTCTTGGAGATATAATTATCCATTTAAATTTTAGATATTATAAATGCTTGTAAACATTCAAATCAATCAACGTTTACATTTGTAATTTAACAATTATTTTTTGAACATAGATGCGATTTTATGCATTGAAATAAAGGTTTATTATTTAACATATATGTATTCGTGCGTGCATGCCTGCGTGCGTCTGTGTTTCTGCTATTGTTCTGACCTGTTCTTGTTTGTAAAAAGAATTAGTGACAAGACAAAACACTGCCATTTTTTGGCACCAAAATAATTTTTCTTGTTGTTTTCGTATTAGTCATCAAACCTCATTATTAGTTACAAGTTGATTGTTAACTTAAGTATGAGTAAAACATAGCTATTGTAATTTAGTCCATTATACGTAAAATACAATATTAATACAGCTACAGCTGTATAATATGCATATGATATGCATGACTTTTTATCAAAAATTTCTTGTCCTGTTTAAGTTATAACACCATTATTAAAGGAAAAATTTATTAATAAATTAGAAATAGTGAGCATTAATAACAAAGGAATAATTTGGCTTAAGCTTAAAAAAGAATGTTTTGGATCTGATAAAGACATTTATATTAGTACTTGCTATATACCACCGGAAGACTCATATGTTTATAAAAATGTTAACTCAACCTTATTTGAATATGATTTTATTGATAACCTCAATGAAGAAATCCGTAAATATAGTGACCTAGGGCATGTTTATTGTACGGGAGATTATAATGCGAGGACGGGTGAGAAACCCGATTACGTAGACAATATTAACTTGAACCGGTATGTAGTTCTCCCACCGGAAGTGGAAGAAAGCACCACAACACGTAAAAATACGGATACTCATGTGAACTCTTTTGGAAACAAATTATTGTCAATGTGTAAAGAAAATAACCTGCGTATTGTTAATGGCCGGCTAGAACCCGGCGATTGTACTTTTCATTCTAAATATAGAAACAGATCGACACAGAGTACAGTAGACTATTTAATAACAAAGTTTGAGAATTTTTCATCTTTAAATGACGTATGTGTTATGGACATGACTGAGTTTTCTGATCACTGCCCAATTTCTTTTTCAATAAGCTACAAAAATGATTTAAATATTAATTATACCAGACCTGAAAAACAACAAAAAATTATATGGAACAGCGATGAAACAGAATCTTTTTTAAATCTCCTGGAGGCAAAAAGGCATATATTTGACAATTTGTCACAAAAACTTGAGTCGGGCGAAATTGATGTTGATAATTGTGTAAATTCTTTGTCCGACGAAATTTTTGAAATCTCTTTAAGGTGCTTTGGGAAAACATTTTGTCAAAAGCCTTGTAAAAAGGTTAAAAAAGCTGCCTGGTTTAATGTGAATTGCAGAAATGCTAAAGCAGATTTTCTGAATAAAAAAAAGAGCCTTTAATGTAAATAAGTGTAATGATAATAAGTTGTTATTCTTGTCAAGTAGACGGGAATATATAAAGGTTAAGAGACGAGCAAAAGCGATATTTTACTCTAAAGAAAAAATTAATATGTCACAAATGTCAAAAACCTCACCGCGTAAGTTTTGGAAATACATAAATAAATTCAAACGTAGCCCGTCTGATAGAAACAACTTAGATTCAGATAGTTTTGTTAACCATTTTTCAAATATTTCTAATTTGCAGCACAGTAATTTTAATGCAGACGATTTTATTCAGTCACGTGATGCACCGTTATATATTGAACAGTTAGATTGTCCGATCAGTGTGGAGGAAGTGTCGAAAACTATATCTTCGTTGAATAGAAATAAGAGTGCTGAATATTTAAATATTGTTGCTGACTTTTTCATTGATGCTAATATATTTATAAGCCCATATTTGTGTACTATTTTCAATAAAATCTTTGAGACTGGCATTTACCCAGAAGCATGGTGTAAAGGGGTAATTGTACCTATTTATAAGAAAGGTGATCCCGAAAATCCTTCAAATTTCCGTGGCATCACGTTAATAATTGTATGGCAAAAATATTTTCCTTAGTACTACGTAATAGGTTAAATAAATGGTGTGAATCAGAACAAATTTTTAACGATGTACAGTTTGGTTTTAGAGATTCTAGATCTACAGCTGACGCTATTTTTATTCTACATTCCCTTATCCAGAAGATACTTGACAACAAATCAAAACTATATTGTATTTTCATAGATTATGAAAAAGCGTTTGATACTGTAATAAGAGATGCATTGTGGATTAAATTGATTGAAAATGGCGTTAGCTGTAAAATGGTTACTATGTTAAAATCCATTTACTCTTCTGTATTATCTTGTGTCAAAATTGATTCTAAATCAAATTTTTCTGATTTTTTTTAGGTAACTCTAGGCTTAAAACAAGGCGAGCCATTATCTCCCTTGCTGTTTATTTTATTCCTTAATGATATTGATCAGTGTATAGATCTTAACAAAATGTCTAACAACGACCTAAACCTTTTATCTAAATATTTGTTACTTTTTGCGGATGATATTGTGTTGTTTACAACTGACCCTGCAAGCTTGCAGGCACAAGTTGATAATGTTTTTGAATATTCATGTAAATGGGGTTTGAAGATAAATGTTAATAAAACTAAAATATGTGTATTTGAAAAACGTAAGTCAGTCCATAATTTTAATTTATTTATAAATGGTCAATTGGTTGAAAAAGTAGATAGTTTTACATATTTAGGAGTGAAATTTTCTTACACAGGTAGCTTTGTTGAAGCTGTGAAAGCACTATCAGATCAAGGTCTAAGAGCTTACCACAATCTTCTCGCACTCTTTGATAGAGTGAAATTCGATGTTAAAACAAAATTATACTTATTTGAAAGAATGGTAGCTCCAATCTTATTATACGGGTCAGAGGTTTGGGGTATATATAAGCTGAAAGATATTGATAAACTACAGATAAGATTTTATAAATATGTTTTAGGTGTCAAAAGACAGACCCCAAATTGTGCTATCTATGGGGAACTAGGTAAATTTCCTTTGTCTGTTCTATGTAAGGAAAGAGCTTTACAATTTTGGAATAAAATCGTTAAGCGCCAGCAGGCGCCTACATACCATATTTATTTAGACCAATGTATTAATGGGAATGAAAAATGCTGGGCTAAACGCGTTCACTCTGTTATTACTGATATGGGCTTCCCGTACATTATTTATGACTATGCAGTTAATGTCAATTATAATATGTTATTTAAGCAGAGAATAAGAGATCAATTTTTACAACAGTGGCATGACTGTATAGATAATATGCCAAAGCTTGACTACTATAAGAAATATAAAACACAGTTTTGTTTCGAGGAATATCTTAATTTTGTAAAAAATGACAATTTACGTAAACAATTATCATGTTTTAGATTATGTTCTCATTCCTTAGAAATAGAAACAGGTAGATATATGAGAACTGATAGAAATAACAGATTGTGTAAATTATGCCCGTATAAAAATGTTGAATCAGAATACCACTTCTTATTATGTTGTCCCTTATATTCAGAACTGAGAAAATCTTTTATAAAACATGTATCTTTTCCAACTTTAAATAAGTTCTATTCTATTATGTCATCAGGAAATAAAAGTAGAATATTGCAACTATGTAAATTTTTAGATAAAGCATTCGCATTAAGATCTAGTGTTTTAGAAACAATGCAAGAATTGTAAATTTGATATGTTTCTGCATTTTGTGTGAACATTGTGTATTTGTATTGAATGTATGTCATATTTCAAGTGATTTATGTATGTTTTGTATGTATTGCCAAAGACAAAGTTTTGTCGAAAAATGCAATAAAATTTGAATTGAATTGAATTAAATTTGACGTCATCAAACAATGTAAAAACGACCAACACTGTGTATCCCGTTCATTCGGAATGTTGTACGTATAAACATAATATTACACATTCATAAGAGATACCATGCTTATCACCAAGTTTGTAAATTTCTTTTAAAAAATGCAATGTTTAAAAAAGTAATCTTTCTTATTTTCTAGAAATGTCCTTTGACGCAAGCTAAGATTTTGGGAGGATCTACATTAACCAGTAACATGCTTTATTCTCGAGGAAGCCCTCATGACTTCACCACGTGGCCGAGTGATAAAAGTCAGACTTGGTCATGGAAGAACATTCTACCATATTTCCTCAAGTCAGAAGACATGCTGGATGATGATATGAAACTTTCGGGTAAATAATAGACAATCTCTTTCCTTGCTATTTTACTCACAGTGATTGTCCTCCTTATTTAACAGAGTACTATGAAATGCCTTTTTCCAATTGAAATTTCCTTTTAAATGATGCAGTTTTCCAAATTCTGAAATTGTCCTTCAATAATTCTAAGCAGCGATACTTTTCTTCAAAATCAAGAGGCTAAGGCATATATTTAATTGCCATTTTAATATTTAAGGGTTTTTTTTTGTTGTTTCTTTTTATTATTAGTATTATTATTATTATTATTTTATTTTTTTCATTTATTTATTTTGAATACTAAAATACATATTTTGTTCGAGTTTCAAGACTGTATAAACGTTTATAGGTTCAATTTTGAACAGAAATTTGAAAGGAGGAATATTTCTTATTCACTTATACCAAAATACATGACACACCTTAAATGTATATTTAACTTCTCATTTTGCTTCGTTGACCAATTGTGTGTACTCTAGGTGAGAGATTTTGTTTTATATTTACAGATTATCATTCCACGAATGGACCACTGCCAGTTTCCGGTCCCGCCTCCGAGATTAGAGAGCTTCATCAAATGTTTCTCAACAGTGCACGAGAACTGAAATACAAAACTATAGACTGTAACGGAAAAGAACAAATTGGTAAGGTCTTGTTTTGTCGTAAAACTCAACAAAAAATTGATTGTATAGAATTTCATTTTGTTATACCGGTTAAAGAAAAGAAAAAAGTCATTCAAAATTAGTAGTTATTAGAATATATCTCATTTATAAGAGTACATAAAATTGATCTACGTAGTAAAATATCTTTCAGGATTTTGTCGACTTTCTACCACGGTAAAAGATGGGGAGAGATTCAGTGCCTCTAAAGACTTTTTACGAGCAGCCATGCATAGACGAAATCTCCATGTTACAACTCACGCCATCGCTATAAAGGTAGTTATAGAAAGAAATGCAAACAATTAAGGCATTATCAGATATTAAGTGGTAGTTTAATGCTAAAGTTCCATCCCACAAGCTTCCAGTATCTAACTTCTTTTCAACTTACTGAAAGTAACGTTGTATTTGAAACTTATTCTTGCTGTACTAGCTAATGGTAACAAGATGTACAATAATTAGTCTATGACAAACTAGACCCACCTTGAAAAAGGGAGATCGCGTGAAAGCGAGACAACAATCGTAAAAAGGTTAAAATTACAGCTCGGGTTTATTGAATTTGTTGAATAGCCTTTATACATTTTATATCCAATGTAATTTTTGCATGTAACTTCTATCCGGTCATAAATTCCGATTTTGTCTGTAAAGATCTAACCTATCTTAGACTTAGTTTCAATAAGCATACTGTAAATGAAATTTATCTTGTTTCAGATTTTGATTTCGAAGAATAGAGCTGTGGGGGTTGAGTATGTTAGAAACGGACAAAAACGTACTGTCGGTGCCAGTAAAGAAGTCATACTAGCCGCCGGTGCTATCGGATCAGCACAGCTCCTCATGTTGTCGGGTGTTGGGCCCAAAGACCAACTAACCAAACTCAATGTTTGTATCTCTTTTCGATGTCCTTTTTAATGTATCCATTTATCATTATCGAAGATTTTTATCTAGAAACAAAAAATCAGATACTTGAAAAACTACCTGTACAAATGAAATATTTCTGAACCATTAAAGATTAGCATCTATGATGACTGCTTTTATAATTGGTATACGGAGCAGAAAGAGTCTGCATATTGCAGAAGACTAACCATACCCTTGATACTGTCGGCTTTTTGATGCATATCTGCATATTTAGAGTAACTATAGATATACATAGCAAGAGGCAACTTCAATATGCACATCCAGCAGTCTAATTATATAATAAGTTTTAATTCGCCGAATGTCTGAGATATTTGTTGTGTTGTAATGATGTAAGACGATGTCTGCAATCCCCGGAATGAAAGGATATCCTTACTGAGTGACAAAAATATCTAAAATTAAATTAAATTAGAATTTAATTATAAATCCATTCTCAGTATTATATGTCAGAAAAGCAGCGAGTTTGAACAAGCGTGTAAACTTAAATTATCATTATGAATAATTAAATATAAATGTACTGAGTCAGTTTACTGAAACAATGCCTATATTCACAGATTCCAGTAAATGTAGATTTACCAGTAGGATCAAACCTTCAAGAACACGTGATCTATAAGATGGACATACAGACGAACGAATCTATTGGGGTGACCAGAGAAATGGTATTCAATACAGTCTCATATCTACAGTATTTAGCATTAGGAAAAGGTAAGTTGTCTTTCTGTATTACAAATTATCTTCCCAATGCTGATAATTCTGAAAGACTTATTGATCAAATACATGTAGTTGCAATATTTACAATAGGTCTACAGTAGCGAATTGTTGTTAGGTTAGCTAAAAAGCAACTTGCCATGTTTAAAACACATTATATGTTCCTTTTTCCAACACTTAATCTCAAATATAACGTATATAAAATAATAAACAAATGCATGTTTTTTGTTTGTCTGTTTGTTGTTGTTTTTTCATAGATAGTATGCGCTAATATAGAATACAATATATTTGCTATTTACCAACATCTTTACTTTTTCAGGTTGGTTAGCAACCAGTGCTGGTATATTTGGCAATGCGCAGCTCAAAATGGATTTAACATCAAAACTGAAAGTTCCTGATGTTCAGCTTACTTTTTCTGCTATCACCAAAAATTTAGCGGAGGAAAAGAAAGAAGAACCTAAAAATAAGGTACGAGTATCTATGTCAGTGCAAGGAGTGAATGGTGATTATGGTGATGAGAGTGAACTTAAGTAGATTTAGCATGTTCTTAAATTCATAAAAATATCTTGTTTGTGAAAAAAATACATTTATACAATTAATTTTTATAGATTTACAGTAAACAACACGAATATATCGATCGAAATTCCGGTTTTTTAGGAACAAATCTTTGGCCCCAAGTTTTCCTTTCTTTATTGTTTATGAAAAATATCTATAAATAACGATCACGGTTATAAGGAAATATCGTCTATAAGGAACTCATATTTAAGTCTTAATTTTGAACAAACAAAAAAAGAAAGAAAATTACATGGATACAAAAGGAAGTTAAAGATATAGACTGAACCTATGTTGTTTTTATTGTTTATTCAAAAGTCAAAATTCGACATGGGTGTATAAATAAAGAGCTGTCATAAAATGAAATAAGGGTATCAAGAAAATCATAGTGCAGGTAAAAATTAAACTTCATTTTTTTTATATTTCTTTACTATATTTTACCTTTATGTTGTTTGAATGCTGATCGATTTCAGCAGACACTCGTGTAAAATTTATAATCCTATTTATCAAATTTTCACAAAATTCATTGAGCAAAAAACCATAAAATTGTTGGCAGAGGAAGGCTGGCAAATCAGAGGTGTCTTATTTTGAAAAGGATTTCTTATTAAAGATGTTAAATTGAGAAAGGGTGTTATCTCTGACATCTGACAAACTGTCATAAAAATAAACAGAATTGATAAAAGATTTATACATTCTTTAATTATCATTTTCAAAATCTAGGAAACACCCGTTGTTAGGAAAAATTGAAATAAGGTTTAAAGTAATAATTGGGTATAGAAGAAGACGAGCAACAACAACTAGATTATAATATTTGAATACTCCTTAACAATGCGTCCGAATGAACGATAATTTAATAGGATTTATCTACAGTGTTTGAGCAGTAGCTCCAGACGTTTGCAGAAATCAGGATCACAAAATAGGAAAATATCGCTTTTTCCGCCGATTCTTACATTGTATATAAATCGGTGTAAACAGATGAATTAGGCGTCTTAATGTGCATGTCTGCAGGTAAAAAGGCAATATTTATTATTTAATCATTCAAGCGCATTGACCGGTATAGACCGGAATACGACATTTAGTGTGGTGCTCCAACACTTTTTTCAGTCCTACTCAATTTGATCAATGAAGACTAGTATGTTTAAATGTGTCGTCTGTTACAGCAACAACATTCCTCAGCGGCGCAGCAGAATATCACGACACAGTCTGCTAATGGTTTTACGATCACAGTGGAGCTGTTACACCCAGATAGTAGAGGGAGGGTGAGATTAGATTCCAACAACCCTTTCGTCCCGCCCCTTATTGACCCTAGTTATTTATCTAACCCCAAAGACGTTCAAACCATGGTAAAAGGTAATTTATTTATTTATTTATTTATTTATTTATTTGTAATTTATGAAGCATTATCTTTATCTAATATTTATTCCATTTTTTCTATTATTTATTCTTCGGCGCTTAATTTTTAACTTATTTTATCCTTGATTTGATTTTAATTACTCATTTTCTTTTGAAAGTCTATGTCCTTTTCTTTATTTAGTTTAGATTTAATTAATTCAACTAGAAGGGTCTTCATTTATGTATTTATCAATAAAGAAGACCACTATTCAGTACATCAGTCATGTGTAAACAAAAAATAACAAAAAGGACAAAAAGAAGTACGTGATACGTTAAAGTCTAATTGGTATGAAAAATGGCTGTGAAAAATATTTTCGATACTGGTGACAAAAATTCTACGTACGCAACCAGTGCACACCAAGTTCAGATAACACATTCGTATCGTGTTGTCTTTTAGTCTTGAAATTCTACCTAAAGTAAAGCAAGTTTAGCGGGATAAGAGTTAATTAAATCGAAGATCATACATGTAAAGTAAATCGTAAACTTATTTCTATTTTACAGCAATAAAAGTAGCACAATCATTTCTATTAACGTCATCATTTCGAGTTATAAAGGCACGGCTATTTGATAAACCATATTCGCCATGCATTCAACACAAAATCAAAAGTGACGCATACTGGGAGTGCGTACTACGTCATCAAGCCGTTGGCAATGGTCAGGTGACGTCAACTTGCTCAATGGGGTCAACAGGAAGTGAGCGAGCGGTCGTGGATACGTCGTTAAGGTATTTATTGTCCCTGTTTCTTGCATGTTTCCAATATTTAAATTAATAAATAAAGCTATCTTTTTGGCATAACAGGACTATAATTAATTGTTTTTGTTGTTTTTTAATTGATGTTCAATTTGATGTACATATAGTCCAACAACTTTTTTGCAAAACTTTAGATCATCCGTTCTCTCCGTTTTTCTAGAATATATTTTATTGTGAAATTGACAAAACATGGAAAAACGCTTAGAACTCAAACTGGGCTTTGAAAAGCTAAAAAATGCGTGTTTTTTAAATTTATTTCTGAGTATATTTCTTAATATTGTTTGCAAATGTTTCTGTTTTAAGTGTCCCAGCTGATATTTGTCAGAAATTCAAATTTGATGTCTTGATGGCTTTTCGACCTTATTTGAGTTACTTTAACATCAAGTCCTAAATCATGTCAGTTGACTTAACAACTGGAAAGAACACGAGTCATATCATCAATTAAAGCGGTCGAAACTATTTACAGAAGAACGCTCAACGATATTTGTTTCAATCAATTTAGTTACACATACTATAATAATTGTTATTTTCATACAAATGTAAATTGATAAGGCAAATTAAAATGTAAAATACTGCTTACATGTTTTTAACCTTTAGCTTGCTGGTGGCAGTTACAAATGCCTGTGTGACCAGTATTGCCTGAATACAATCGGCACTGTCCGCTATTCAGTCAGATCATATTTTGTTATGTTGGAAAAGTTTTGTCCAGACTGGGAGATGGACAAGTCCATTTAAAATACTTGTATCATGCATGGTAATAGTGAAATATAAACATTTCAATTCTAACAGGGTTCGAAACATCACAAGCCTGAGAGTAGTTGATGCTAGCGTGTTGCCGTCCAGTGTATCCGGAGATATCACAGCAACAAAAATCATGCTTGCAGAGAAAGCCTCAGATCTTATACGAGGTCATGAAAGTATAAGGTTTTATAGAAGACTTGCAGAGCGAACCTTGGCATCCAGATGATAAACATGATCTATACACTACAGTGAAAGTGAATGCAAGTTGTTGAAAAAAGAACAGTTTACGTAAGGATAGTAATTCCGTTGTAACTGTACTGACCGCGATAAAATAAGTGTCAAAGGTGATCCGATGAAACCATGTTCACCATAAAATAGAAAATCTATTGTAGGATATACCTATGTATGTTGATTGCAAAGAATTTAAGCGTATACGGTATTCCACGAAAGATTTTTAGGTTTAAGTATTTCATTTGAGATCATTTATCTTATGTTTGAAACTTAACTTAGCATTGGGCACATTTATATGGCAAGTGCCTTACCTAAGTGCTAATTCATTATCATCGTGTTTGTTTTCTCTCATCATAATTAGTTTTTCTTGTGGGTGTGTGAAAAAAAACTGGAAACCTTTATATATTTTTGTATGCTTCTAAACTCTCGGAGACCATCAAGTTCCGATGTGTGAGGATATAAACAGCCAGACAGCAAGGATTACTAGCGTACAGAAATAAAGGACTACACATCAACTAACGGGGGATAAGAAGCACAAATCAGCCTGTTCTCATACATGCTTAAGTACATAAATCAGTTATTGGCTTCAATGAATTAAATTTATTTTTGAACGAAATATTTTTGATAACTGACAGTTTTGTATGCGCAAAAGACGAAATATATCTGTGGATCGGAGTGACAAAATATGTACATTTTATAACTTATGTTTCACTTAATATTTGCTCAAAACTTTATAAACAACGATTACATCAAAGTTCATCACGAATACATCGAAAGCAAACTGTCACATTTTGAAAATGTATTTGAGATACATGCATTGATTTTTGATTTGATCATTATAATTATGCTAAAACAATCTCAAAAACAAGAAGGCGTCAATCTGTCGTTGAGTAAATAATGTCACTGACCTTAAATGACATATCCGTTGTAACACAGCTCAGAGTTTACCTCCGCGCTAGGAATGGAGAAGTTATCCGGCTACTACGCAGGTCTGTCTTAGATTCCCGCATGCGCCAGATATAATGCAACGAAGAACCTTTATTCCTCCGCCAGTAAAAGTTAGGAGGCAACGTTTAATAAGGTTTCGGTTTTGATAATTTAGAAACATTTACAAATCGTTCCTATGACCATGAATTGTCAAGGATACATACTGATTAAGCATATCGGGCAATGTTGTATAATTGAACAGTTAAATATTAACTTTTTTTTATAAGTGTGGACTTTAACGTGCATATATGGGTTCGAGTGTTCGAGTGTAGTATTGAAGAAAAGCGTAAATCGTGAAAAATAAGGAACGTATGAAGAAATCGACCGGTCCATTCAGAAAGAATTCAATGTGGTATGACATGAATAAATGTTGAATTAAGAAAGTATAAATGGAATACAATGTGGCATTACATTGTGGATCACGCAAAGTTGGAATAATGGAAAGAAAACAATGTGGTAATATGTGCGCAAGTGTGGGACTATAAAAGTATTAATGGAATACAATGTGGTAAATGTGGTATTATATGAGCAAGGGAGAAACTTAGAAAGTATAGATTGAATGCGATGTGGTACTTTATTAGCAAGTTTGGAACTTGTAAATTAAAAATGGAAATATACTACATCATTCAACAAGTTAAATATAGATATGAAATCTATGAGCAAGTATTGATACCCGAAACTAAAGGCGGCAATGTAGTTTCTTATAATTATGGCTGAAAAGTTGAATGTAAAAGCTGAATATGTGTGAGGAAGTTTGGTAGGGTTTTAGTAGTTGATATCACTGAGAAAATTTTTAATACGTCTCATATGTACGCAAATATGATATTAACGTATTTAAATGGAAATTGTTTAAAAGAGAAAAGTTGAATATAAATGTAGATGTGTTGAATTTAATTGTTATTGAATTACTTGTTATCGTTTGGTGTCACAATTCATATTCGAGTGTTAAATTTTTCATTTAAATACATTTTGAAGTGCTAAAATTGTTTCATAGCTAGATTTATTTCCTCTAACGTAGATACGTTTGGTTTTTGTCTTTTAATTTTTTGTTTACAAAAAGTAGATTTACCAAGCTTTGAATTTAAAATTATCTTCTAATTTTTTTAACTATATATTACAACTTTGTTATACAAGTTATACATTTTAAACTAGCACCAAAAGTTCATAGCCATACGCCAACCAATTCGCATTTTTATGGTTATTACAACATTTTGACAGATTTAATTTAATATAATCAAGAATAACAACAATAATTGAGCCGCGTCATGACAAAACCAACGTAATGTGTTAGCGACCAGCTTGGATCCAGACCAGCCTGCGCCTCCGCGCAGTCTGATCAGGATCCATGCTGTTCGCTATCAGTTTCTTTACTTGTTATAGGGTCTGTAAGCGAACAGCATGGATCCTGATCAGACTGCGCGGATGCGCAGGCTGGTCTGGATCCATGCTGGTCGCAAACCCATTATGTTGGTTTTGTCATGACGCGGCTCAATTATGATAAAGTGATGATCTCATGGGTTTCATGCCCAGGTTTGACTGATGTCATGTCACAGTTACATATAGTGTATGGAATTTAGGACTGCTTTATTTGTTAAAACATAAAAAAATGAGAAAATAATAAAATAAAATTATCAAAACTTAAATGTGTTCAGATTTTTACCACTAAATGTTTGAATATTGTTTGACGACGTCTGGTTGATCAGACTCGAATGTTTTGGTAAATAATATGTAATAAGAAAGCCTTAACTATGTTACATGTAAACAGAGGTTCAATGGTTCAATATCTGGAACAGAGAATTTATGTATTTATGTATAATGCGATTGCTTACATGAACCATTAAATGTCAAAGCTTAATGTGGGTTAATGTATTGGTCACATTTTAAATGGATCGATGATAGGAAGTCCACCTTTACTATGTAATCAGATTTACATATGTATTAGAATGTACAAATGTTGGTATAATTCACCAAAGCAGATGAACAATTTTAACCATTCTATATATAATGAGGTATTCAAGACGTGTCAGTTTTTCTGAGATCATATTTATGTGTATTGTTCAACGCGATGTACATTAGCTATAAATTTATGGTTAAAGTGCAAAACAAAATATCCACGGAGAATGCAGCAGTATTTTATGCATTTTTACTGTCCATGCGAAGTGACAACCAGGAAAATAAATGTCATACAATTGTTGACAAATATCAAAAAATGAAAAAAGATGAAATAATTCTTTGAGACATATAGATTATATATAGTGGTATAAAGTTATAAACGACGAGTATACTCGGATATTACCGTCACAAAAGTATACATGCATGCATTATTAAAGGAACATCTAAATAATATACTACATATACAATGATATTCTTCTGTACCTATACTTTAAAAGTATTTCGTATGCACGTCGCTACAATCTGATTACAAATTTAAAACACAGCAATACTGCAGTTTTATGGATTACATTTTGGTATCCCCATATCCGTTCTGTGCTGAAGTTTCGGTCACCGTATTCTCATGTCCATTTGATTTTATAGAGGATTTTGTCTCATCACTTAAATTAATATCTTGATCGTATGCTTCATTAACATAAACTTCCTTTTCTTTTTCCTTTATAGCTTTCCTACAAATGAAAATGATTTACAGATAGCATTAAAAACAGAACAATATATAATATGTATTGGTTGATGTAGACTTACACATATATTAAATAGTCTCATATCAACGAACACGATAAAACTAATCATTAATTTCTTTTGTTTAAATAAAATCGCAAAATGAATTACATTCAAACAAATTCTCATGTACGTCCGAGCGAGCACTAGATTTGAAACAAAACTAATAAAGCCCGTTTACAGCTTTGAGAATACCATGTGAGACGAGACTATTACAAGAGATTTTCCGTTCCCACATCTTTATTAAGGAAAAACACTTAAAATGAGCAGAAATAAATCTTTTGTTTTAAAAAGATTGAAATAATGAAAAGGGGATATGAATATTATTTTAATGGTAACATAAGTTTAAACACAAAAAAGAAACATCTTACTTTCCGAAGTGTTCAGCGTCTACAATCGATTCCGGAAGTTCTTTATGAAGAGTTTCCGGAAGTGCTAACGCCAGAACACCTGCCGCTATACTTGCTGCACCAAATATCACCAACGGTAACGCACGTCCAAAATCACCGGATACTACTTTATTCTATAATGGTAAAATAAATGAGATATATTTATAAACATTTAGTTAAATTCTATGTATAAAAATGTCTACATATGTAAATTGTTTGTAGTTATAAAATTACATTAGATTTTGTTTTGACAAGCCGATTTCATGCAATATATCAAGAAAGATCAAATTATTGTTTTAAAAAATACCGAATACAAAGACGAAACATGCTATATGGTTGTATTTGAATAAAAACTTTGATTTATGGTATCTTCCACGTGGAAATAGTTTACAATATGTGCTGTTCAAACATGGAAACTACTATGGTATTTAAAGAAACACAACATTAATCAGTGATAATTGATCTTTAAAAATAAAAAATAGTCTTTGTGTTTTGCCATACCATATCAGCTACATACGGTGCGAGGATACCCCCAACACGTGCACAGCACGAGCTCGCTCCCATGCCAGCGTTCCTTACCACTGTAGGATACAGTTCAGCAGAAAATATGTAAATAACTGCAAACGCTGCTGCAGCACCAAGCTTCCCAATCATAGCTAGAGTCACGGTGACAGCATGTAAACCTATTAGAAATACCAAATCATTACTCTTACCAGGAACATTTTAGTATGCCAAGTGCTTACAGCGGTTACTTCCCCTGATCTATACCGAAGAATGAAGGGGATATCAATATGTGGTGAATAATATGACCATATATTCCTGCTGTCACATGTATATTGGATTAATAAAACCAAATTGAATAATTTAAAATCATTTAAATTCAAAATTTCATTTTATGTTTTTTTAATGTTTTCAATGAATCATTTTATACCTCTTGACAATTAACTTCAGTGCTCTCTTTATCTCACTATTTAATATAATTTTACGACAAAACGTTAGAACTTTTATATACACAAATACTGTGGAATACGTGTATATCACGATTGAATACTGGAATTAAGACTAAGGACCAATGGTCAAGTTGTTACAATGTTAGACTATCAAATCAGGGATCATCGGTTCGAGCACAACTCAGTCACGACTATGCCTCCATACATAGCCCGGTACAGGTTAGTCCCACCCAGCGAATTGACTGGATAGCCGGTCAAGATTAATGAAAGTTTGATTAATAAAAGATTGATAAAACTCGAAATAAAATAAATATCTTACCTAAGTTTGACATAAAGTAACACTTCTATATACAGGAGCTTGCCATAATAAATCTTACATGAGTAACTACTTACATCATCATATTCTAGTTTACTTATAGAGATGGGCTCGAACCACAGTTAGTGTTACAAGAAGCGTTAACAATATTCACTAATCTGAGCTTACTCACTTTCACCGCCATATATTGTTGTGAACACTGTACTAACACAAGCTACGCCCCCTGCTACCATAGCAATAAAGTGAAGCCATTTCCTTCCGATTCTGTCCAAAAGTAATATGCAAAGAGTGTACGCGGGGAATTCGACGAGTCCGGAAATGGTAAAATTCAAATAAAAATTGCCTCCTAAGTTGCCGGTATTCAGTGACAGCCCATAGTACACCATACTGACAACCATCCTGTAATTTAAATAAGAATGAGAACCTTGATAATGGTAAATTTAATGTTATAGACTGTAGTAAGCAGTGCATCACAAAAAGAAATTAAAAGTGAAAACACTTGTTGACTTCTCTTGAAAACACTATTCTTTGTCCTACGACGGATTCATAAATCATTTTTCATAGTACATGTATATAGACAAAGTAATAATTAAAATACTTTACACTTTTCACAGAATCAACTGTCCAACAGTCGAATTTTGATTTTGATTGAAATTATATAAAATAAAACAAACAGAGAAATGGAAAGAAAGTGATACATAAGCGTTAGAAACTTACTAAGCGCTAAAAACGGAAACCAAATATAATGTCAGTTAGATATATATTTACCTTATCTTCTACAAGACCAACTAATAGAACAAAAATATTTACAAACCAGAAAAACACGTCCGCATATATTTTACTATAAAACACTTATAGGCGTAGCTTTGGAAGTAAGACTTCTAGTAGGGTTTCGGATGCATACGCCTTCAAGAAATGTTTCTTTGCTCCAGATTGTCAAAGGTGCATTTTGGCGCAAATTTAGTTCAATTAAACATGTTAAAATGTTAAAAATTGCAAGTATGAAATGATTTTTTTTTTTCACTTTCTTGAAAAAATTTGTAGACTGCAGATTACTGTACATATCATATTTCTAGGAAGCTACGCCACTTAATCAGTAATACAAATATTTTCTAAAAAATTCTTTCAGTATTTGTAGCACAAGCACAACAGAGATTAATGATGGAAACAATAGCGTAAATGGCAATTAAAAGATATATTGTTAAACCACCAGTGAATCAGTATCTTTACAGATGCCACATGTTTCTAGAAACCTTTTATAAGATTTTATATGATTTCCCTTACAATTATAACTTACCAGTTGAAGAAGATAACAAGTGTCCTTATAAACATCACTCTGGTACTGAATAAATGCCATAATTTTCCTTTAGGGGCAGTCAGATCTATTGAGTCCTTGTCAAATATTTTGTCTGGTAGAGAAGCCTTGTTGACTTCTGCTGCTTTCCGCATGATTTCCTCGGCCTCTACAAATCTTCCTTGTGACAATAGCCACCTGGGAGACTCAGGTACGATCCTTTAATTGAAAAGAATGTTTGATTTTGACACATTGTAATGTTTATTTTGTCACTGTATATTTAAGACTTCGTTCAAAGATTAAGTATTCTTTATGTCAACCTTATACCTGTTGACTCTTGTACCAATTTGAATAAGTAAGCCAGTAAGGTAAGAAAATACCTCGACAGTGGCAAAAAGAAATGGTTAGTATGCTAGCGACATCCTTGATTTTGTTAGACTGATAAGCACTGAGGCATAATACAAACAAAGGCTTATCAATACGAAGTAAACTATAGTACATAGTGAATCTACTTCAAAGAATGGAACTCATGTCGCAAAACTGAGCGTGTAAAAGTGAAGCAGCAGTAACTGCCACGGGTTTACTAAATTGAAACAGTTTATATCGTTTGATTTTATATATTAAAATTTAAAATATCAATACTTAAAAAAGTAGATCATACCAATAATAGGACAGGTAGAGTATATTTGGGAAAGCCACCGCCATCTCTATGTATTTCCAGTCACGTAATAGGTATGCCACGCCCGCTAATATCAATAAACCAATCGCGAAGAAGTATTCGACTACCACACCAGCCCACATTCTTTTAGAAGGACCAACAAGTTCCATACCTGCATTTATTAATTTCTTTTGAAATGTATGCAAACTGTAAACATTGAAGAGTCAGTTAACACTGGAGAGTATCAGAACGGACTTTTAGAAAATTTAAAGTTAAAACATATACCTTGAACATAAAGATTCATTGCCAATAAGATATATACAACTGTAAATTATTATTTATAATATAAAATAGATACAAGCATACAATTGATATCAACATCGTAATGATTAATTATTGATATAAAATTGTTTAATGGATGAAAACAGTCAATTTGTTTGAAGTATTTGATAGCAAATATTGAACAAAATTCAATGAATTAACACGTATTGTTAGATGCATGGAAAAAAAATCAGTTAAGTGTTAACAACAGTCAAATTACAATGAAATGCTTTCATCTGCCAAATCGATGTAGTAAATTATGATAAGGCTATAGCAAAGTTCACAGTAAGAACGAAAGCATTTTCAACTAATTCCCGCCTTGTAAGTTGGTAAATATACATTCTATTTATATCTACCAATGACAAATCCTGTCAAAAAAATCCCGGCATTCGCTGCGCCAATCAAAAATCGTAATACAACAAACACGATGTAAGAATCTGCCCATGCTAGACCAATACTTGTTCCGATGTTTATGACAAATGAGATTAACAAAGTTTTCTTTCGGCCAATTCTGGAAATAATAAAACATAACATCTAAAGAGTTCTAAACAATATAAAGAACGATGTTTATATACGGCCCTAATGCATACACACAATTTCTAATTTTCACTTACAAATATGATAAATATAGTAAATGTATGATCTTGTTCGTGTAGAAAGAATCATCAGACGATAATGAATCTCAATTACGAAACGTGCGGCATGAAATTCACTCAGAGATGAGTGAAAGTCCATTTTAATTGTTCTGCTCATGACACGACAATTTGAAATTTGACATGGTAATCACTTGCACCGTGATATGAATAGATTTTGAAGTAATATAAAAAATAAATTTACATAAGGTTTATAAAATGAATAAAATACATACACATCTGATATGACACCAAACACAAATGCGCCAACCAAAACACCTCCGAAAAACAACATCTTAGCAACAGAAGGTAGGTTATCATCACCACATACCAGGTCTTTCTGTGACAAACAAATAAAAACTAGTCGATGGTCTCACTATAAAATGCCGGACCTACATTTTTTTCGATTTTGCGTTTTTGGAAATTTCCGAAGCTTCAAGTGCTCCCGCTTCTTTTGCCTGACTCATATTGAAGTCAGCCAATCATAACCTTCAAAATTCATCACATGTAGAAAAGCCGTACTTTCATTGGCCAATTCTTTTGAATTAGAAAATGCCGTAGCTACACATAATGTAGCTCCGGTGTTAAACTACTGATTATCTAACAAGAATACGAGAGAAAATAGCAACTTCGGCATTTTATATTCATTTGATACTCGTCTTACATTCGCTTTCCCATGGCATTTAAACATCACAACCCATTGTATTAATTGCGAATTGGCATAAAAACTTCAAATACATTAGTTGAATATTAATTAAATAATAAAAACATGTCGCAGGATCATATAAACGGTTTTGACTATTTAACATTGAGATACTCAGGAGATCTATATTGCATTGGAACAAATAAACTAACCCCCAATTAATATACGGCAAAAGAACAAAAGTGGAAGTTGTTAAAAATTAAGCTTTTCAATATCATTGCTGACATCACACGCCCTTTTATCACACGGCCCTTTCCGTCAGTCTTCAGATAAGGACCCTAAACACAATAATAAGAATTCACAGATACAGTATTTCGGACTAACCTACGCTAAGAAACTAAACATTAAAACAAATAGTTAATTAATGACTAAAGTTGTTGGCTTTTTTCAATATATCAAGTCCACATAAATCATGACGATTTATACACTTAGCAAATAATAAAACACGCTTAAACGTGTCGTAATTAACTACAACTAACACACTGACATATTTTGAGTTATCACAAGAACTCCGTGACATTTGAAAAATCGGGTCTGGGCATTATGTCTGCAACTCTCCATTATAATTAAGTTTACATCTGAAACCACGTTGTAGAACTATTTCCAATCCTTATTAACTCCGAGGTTATTACGAAAAATGGCCGAGGACGTTCCGATTGTGCTGGCATAACAACATTTTTAAGAATAATCCTTCACCCCTGTCACTTGTCCGTATTTGATGGCAAAATATTTTTTTTGTACTTGAATGGCGGATTGGCCCTCATTATGGCTATTAAATATGTCTCTACTATTCAGACCATTAAAAGTGAAAAAGAACCATTTTTCATTGATGCGCCTATAGTCACATCAAAATGTATCTACGACCTTCTAATACTATTTTTACGGAGTCGCAAAAACGGCACGGGTATGTGATAAATGCAGCTTTGTCTGAAGAAAAATACATTGATAATCAAAGCACAGAAGGCGCTGAATTTGTTTTTGTCTCAGAATGTCAGAAAGGTGAGGGCAATTTGTTTCTGTATAGTGCCACCAGTGTTATTACTGTGGTAAATTGGCTATTAGGATAATTGCAACACTGATATTCAATTTAATGTTTATTTGGCTCAAACAATTTAAAAAAAAATAACAACAACATGAGTTGCCTTAACTGTGATTCGAACTTCAGACCTCTAGCTTACTAAAGTAGCGTGTAACCCCTCGACCACAGAAGATATAAGATTAGTGCCTGAAGAAAACCAAATTATTCTAAATTAGGGTTTGTAATCCTTATTAATTTCGAAATATTTTTTAACGGTAAACCTGATGTTCAACATTTATCATTGAGCTTAATATAAGCATGCATATATGTAAAGAATTACACAATATTACAAATCTTCGACCAATCGGGAAATAATTTTTTCCCCGAGAAGGCTTGAAAATTTATACTTATAAAGGGAAGTAACCGCTTCGAGGAATTCGGACTCCTGTCAGATTTCGCAAATAAGAATATCAGGGTCTGAAATTTCGCTACCATTTTTTTGTTTGATCTCACGACCCAAACAAATAGATACTGATGTTCAACATCAAATAGCAAAATGTTGAAATGAAAATTATACATAAGTATGATTATTCGTGTAGAGTTCAAGCAAGTGAGCCGGAAAATTAAACACAATAACATGTTTGGAAACACAAATGTCCTCAGCCATAATTCTTGTCACTTACAAATTAAAAAAAAATGCTTAACAAATCACTCAGTTGTGGACAGAAATATTGCCCCAAAAAGTGTAAACAGTTATATAACCTGACTTTGTCATGACGTTTTGTTATAGTGAAAAATATAGGTTGGCATGTCATTGCTATTTGATGAATAAAAAATTATTAAATATACACAAATGTAAGACCATGACCTTGAACAAAGTGACCCTAACTTAAGAGACCAACTGAGATGTGTTCAATATAGATATGAGACATAGGTAAAAAGAACAAAGGCTATATAAAAATGCTGTAAAAAGATAAATCTATCACTAGCACAGATGACCTTGACATTGTGACTCATATCAAGGTATGGACGTTCAGACTATGAAAAATATCACCAATAAATAAATGTTGCATACACAAATGCTTGAAATCTATTTTTGGCACCCCTGAACTTTAACTAATCCAAAAAAAGAAGACCGAGCACGTAACTTCCTACCAATTATAAAAGACATCTATCAATGAATAAAAACTGTATGGACAAAAGCGTAAAAATCGTTTTTAAGGAGTGCTGACATTGACCCAACTGACCCTTTTTTGCTCAATCCAAAGGAAGAACAATGAAAATTATCTTCCTACCAAATATGAAAAACTCATATTAGAAAATATTGACTGTATGGGCAAAGGTGTATATATCAATTTTTAGCACTGTTGACCTTGACCCAACTAACCCCTTACTCAAAGCAAAGAAAGAAAACCACGCAAGTCATCATCCTATCATATATTTAAAACACCAGTAATTGAATAAAGGCTGTATCAGCAAGTTCGTGTAAATCTGTAATTATCACTGTTGATCTTGACCCAATGACCCCTAACTCAATCCAAAAGAAGAAGACTTCTCAATTTATGTTTAGCAAATATAAATGGCACCTGCCAATAGAAAAAGATTACATATTTTAAAGTGTTAAAATATATTTTTGCATTGGTTACCTTGACTAAAATGACCCCTAACTTAACACGAAGGATGAGGACTTCCTTAGGCGTGTCCAAATTAAACTTGGATTATTTACACCAGTAACCTTGACTTTGATCCTAGTAATCGCTTACTCAAGACAAATGTCAGAGAACCATTGAATACATTCACCTTTCCAATATGAAAGCTATTATTTATCAAATGAAGTAATAAGAAGAAAATTAAGATAAATCCAACTTGCTGGAATAGGCCGACCATACAACGCCCTATTTTCAAAGTGGTAAGAAGGGAAATAACTTTGGAAAAATGAATGCGCTACATTTATATAACCTGACAATATCATCATGAACTTTGTACAGATAGTAACTGTTGTGGAAAATGTGAAGAACTAAATTGATAGAACTTCAGAGATATATCCAACTTGCCGTTTTAGGTTAACTATATCCATTTTTCAGAGTGCTGAAAAGGACAATAACTTAGTAAAAATGAAAGCCATAGTTATGTAACTTGCCGATCATGTACTTTATATTGAATAGTAAGTGTGTAAATTATGAAAACCTTTGGTTACAGGTAGAACTGAATAAAAATAATCAAATTGCCGTTTTAGGTACAGGCGGACGGACAGACAGACGTTCGGTTAAATTACTATAATATGCCACGGTGCAAAAAAAGGAATGAATAAGAAAATATGACTTTATCATTATATCTATAGTTTACAATTCCTGACAATGTTTTATTACAGATTTCACATGATCCTATAATAAATTACTGACTTTATGTATTTTTTTTAGTTCAATTGTAGAATATAACAATTAATATCAAGTTCTTAGCAGCAAAAGTATGTTAAAATCAGATTACCAAACTACATCAGTTATAAAGTAAAAACCCGGAGCTTCATTTCTCTGATGCAAAATGCACTTTCGGAAATTTATAATGCATTTTATAAAGCCGAAGCTGCACCTACGTTTTATAAAATACCTAAACTACTTTTATTGCCAAAAGAAAGAGATATTACCGTTACATTGAGATCATACATTGAATAGTTACTATATTAGATGTTAATAAAAAACAAAACATTTTTTGTATTTTTCTGATTGATCATGAAAAACACTTTTTTCCTTCTCCTGAAAAGTTTACTTTTTGTACCTCCGGCATTTTATAGTGAGACCATCGTAGTGTTTTGTAGCGCTGTTAACTTTTTATCAAACAATCAACGTTTTAAAACATCATTGGACTGGAAGGAATACGTGTTCCTGGAATATCTTATGTGTAATGTCAAACATATTAGTAGTTAAATTTTAGTACCTCAGATGTAAATGTAGATTCAAAGTCAGTTTTATCGTATACCCATTTAGAACACGTTTCTTCGGTTGCATTTATTGGTTTGTTGTTGGTATCATATGAACCAGATCTGTTCACATAGAGGTGACATTCGTGATACAAGAATTTTTCGTCGGTAGGGGGTGGTATAGTTTTGTTGATTAACATCTGATGGTAGTGATTTTGTACCTCGTACGTGTCGTTGTCATAGCCTGGTATAGCACATCTGCGACCATAAAAAAGTTTGTATATTTCATTTAACAGAATGATAAGCGCAATTCAGCTTTCAAATTATCATATAAAGACAGTACTTTTTACATTTTTTTATTCCAATTTCAGCTAGCCGTCACATCGACGTCCTTCGTTTCCAGTGTATTTCCAATGTGTTAATGGAGTTTGTATTGCGTTTAGACAACGTTCATATTGCGTTCCTTTGGCGTTCTGTCAGCGTTTTATGCGATATTACGATGTCTTTAGTGTGTTTTTAAAGTATGAACCACGACCCTATGGAATCTATGGCGTTCATGCGGTGAGCAAGCACACACAAATTGAAACATTTTACATGTAATTTTATGTTTATACATCTCCGCAGTTAAGTCTCGTCCATATTGAAGTAGAATAATGTATGTACAAAATCTAGTAAATGTCCCAACTTCATTTGAAAGCTCATCTTATCAATAAGCTTGAACAGTTGGCGTTGTTTTTTTTGTTTTTGTTGTTGTTGTTTTTTGTTTTTGTTTGTTTTTTTTTCTTTTACTTAATTACATGCAATAGCATTTTAACACTTAGAGCATTATCTGTAATAATCGCTGTCCTGTATAACAAGTATAAAGGCAGGTAAGCCGTATAGTCTTACTATACTCTATACGGCTGCTTTCCTAGCATCTTTATATGCATAAATATGGTAACAGGGATATTCGTTTTTAAAAAAACAACAAAGAACGATTGTAAATATTATTAACATGGTATAACAAGAGGAATTTCGGGTTTTTTTATCCTTTTATTGTTTTATTTCTTATTTTACTTTTTTAGATTTAAATTATTGTAATTAAACATTAACGCAATGGTCATGACGAAAACTTTTTACTTGATGTAATAACGCTAATCTGTTAAGGGAGACTTTATGTATCTTTAAAGATAACAAATTCCTTTAATGTGAACTGGATTACAACCGGTTATATTGTTATGTAAATATACTTCAATTTTCCAATTGCATCTTGATTGCTTTTATCATTTGCATAACGCGATTACTTATAATTTTTGAAGTCATGATTTCACCGTGTATAACAAGTATGTCTAACGTTCAGCACAGATCATAATCTATATTGTGTTTATGTTGTTCAGTAGTAAGTTAAATATAATAGATATATGTCTGATCGCCAAAACCGCGATATGTTTTTGTTCTAAAATAATTAGCTGTGATGAAATATTAACTTTTGTTCTAATATTTTAACTGCGTGTATCAAGTACGCTGGATATTCGGCGAATATAGCAATAAAAAGAATTCACCCGTCCAATAATTATTTAAGCAAGCTTGAAAGGCACGAGTCGCGGCGTAGCCGAGTGGTTAACGTTAAAGCGTCGGACTGGTAATCTAAGAATTGCCGACCGATAATGGTTCAATCAGCTTATAACTTCCAACACAATCGACCTAAAATAAATTAGTATAAACAGAAGGCATGACGTCTTCCTTCTACATAAGTTTTGGGTCATATTCATGGCAAAAAGGTGAGACTAAACAAAGTACCTAATAATAAAACGTATCATATCAATATTTGTAAAATAAAATAGCCACTTATGAATTATCATGAACAACATAAAATTATATTTGAATACAAGAAAAAAATATACATAAATCAAAGAAAACTTTCAAAGTGGACAAATCGAACTAAAACACAAACTTTGATTATACCTATATGGGAATTAACAAATGAGCCGCGTCACGACAAAACCAATGTAATGGGTTTGCGACCAGCATGGATCCAGACCTGCCTGCGCATCCGCGCAGTCTGATCAGGATCCATGCTGTTCGCTATCAGTTTCCTTACTTGTTATAGGGTATGTAAGCGAACAGCATGGATCTTGATCAGACTGCGCGGATGCGCTGGCTGGTCTGGATCCATGCTGGTCGCAAACGCATTATGTTGGTTTTGTCATGACGCGGTTTAAATATAAAGTGTAAAGAGTAAAGTACCTGTGATTTGGAACGCCAAGAATAAAAACTGAGATGACCATAAAAATCCCGGAATTAATTGCGGGCAAACACAATAGGAAGTAAATTCGCTTCTGGTAAGTTCCAAACTCGCCAATCTTGACCAAAACGTCATCAAACTTCATCTTTCCTTAGTCAATTTATGTGTAATTAAAGAAATGATGTTTAAAACAAGTCTAATTCATATTACTATTATTTCAATATATACCAAATTCCAATAATTGCTTCTCTCAAAATTTGCTTTATGGAATAAGTAAATACAATTTTCTTTTAATTAATCAAAGAGCAGAAAATCTTTTAAAGAAGTAAGGTAACATAAATGCTGAAATAAACTTTCCGAATGTCCGCGATGAACACAACTAATCTTGATGATTATGAAACAATCAAAGATGTATGTAGGGTTATCTCACAAGTATACCAAAGTTTGTTAACGACAGTACCATCTTGATTACTATTACAACCTACTCAACTAAATTATGTAGCATATTTACAGTGAACCTTTTCAAAACTTTTCATATTTATTTTAGTTTTTCAGAAATTTTTAATATTGTGATTTCGTTTAAACGAATGAATATTTTCGTCTAAACTACTCTGACTGTTATATCATTTTGTAGATTCTGTAAGTTTTCGAACAACGATTTTGTTTTTAAAGTTTATAAAGCTATATTTCTACTACCATGTAGTTTTATCTTTATATATTCTTAAAAGTGAATGGCGCAGGCACGAAACGGTTAATCCCCTAATCAAAATAGCAGTAAATATTTAACGCTGTGAGTATACATTTGTGAGATTCAATTCATTTACTTCTGTTAAAGCTTTCTGATGAAGGAGGTCGTTTTCTTTGTATTTTATGAAAGTTATGTACAAGTTAAAAAATAATTGGCATAAACATTTCACATGTTCATCACCAAGGTCTATGATTGGAAGTTTATAATTTAAAATGCACATTGTATGTATGAGTACAGTGGTTAATTTTGTAAATAAATACATATATAAAACATACAGAAGTATAAAAATATAGATCTTTACAGTCAATAAAATAACAATCCCGTTTACGTAAAAATATATTTTTTTCTACAACGTTTCAGATAGATTTGTTACTTCTGGTTGTTAATATGGTTGTGCTGCTGCTGCTTCTATAAATGTTTCAGAATCAAAACAAGTTAGGTTAATGATATTTAGGGACGTATCATCGGACACTTCCTGAAAATTCACATTATCTTATCTTCTATAATCTTAGTACTTAAAATGTAAATAATCGCTCCATTGTTAAATGAAAAAAAATATCCATTTTTTTGAAAATCCGCTCCGGTAAAAAGAAATATTATTTTAAGCGATAAAAATAATAATAGAAATTAAAGTGGAGACTGAGCTTATGAGTGAATCATCCCCCCTCATAAAATAGACACTGTTGTATGGTGTGCTGGATGTAAGAAATCGAGCCTGAATACGACTTCTTAAGGTTATGTGTCCCCCATTCCTAGATCATGTTAAATAAGACTTGCCGCCAGCTACGGAAAATTGAGTATATATACTTCTGAAAAAAAATCCGGTTGATAAGCCAGTGTATGCTTAAACCCAGCTAACAAAAAATATATCAAGCTGGCAAAAACTATTTCAGTCTTAGACTTCAGTTCGATTAACGTTACGTAAGAAGAAGAAGAAGAGTATACGAAGTCTATTTAGAATTGTTGAAGATTTATTCAACATTATACATGTGCTTATCATTACACACTTATATAAATTCACTCTACATTGCGTTTAAAGGGCTAGCATATATTGTCAAAAAGATATAGATAGCATTTTGGACATCTGACATTGTTGATCTAATAGTTTCGGAAGCTAGTAACATAAATATTTTGTCACTAGTATGACCGCTTAACAGTTTGAAATTGTCACAAATGTATAAAAGTAACTTACTACAGTATTATCTTGATAGTCAAATACACAAAGCAATCCTTACACTATTTCATTGGAAAATTCTTCAATATTTCAATCACAGCTGCTTTTATTTTTTCTGGGGCCTTTTCGTGACAATTAAAATATGGGGTTGATTTCTTGTATTTAACCAGCATCTTTTGAATATGTAAGGTCCTAGTATTACCATTTTTTTCAGTTTCAGTATGTTTTTAGCGAGAATAAAAAAAACCATTATAACTATAATTACAGTATAAATAATGAAAAACATATTTTGGGCTGAGGAATGTTTTATTTAAATCATATCTAAAGAGAAAGCACTTAAATGTGTATGTTTAACAAGATGGCATGTATACAATAAAACTACATGCATATATCAAACATGATTTAATTGTGGCTTTGACTGAAACATCCTGTTTAACTTTGAACGTGTATGTTGGCGGCGACAATGTCCTCATGATTGATAATGAAAGGCGTTTCGACAGATTTATGCGGGAAACAATGTTTACAAATTTTTGCCTGGTATTTCTTTTCTTATATATTTATAGTTCATATCTAGGTAATAAAACAAACACCAGAATGAGTGGTTTAATACAGGCATATTCCAAACAGGTCAACATAATTTCTCATTATAGAATTTTTCCATGTCGAACAGATCAAATAGCATATGACTTCATCAAATAATAATACAAATCTGCAAAGGTCTTAAGCATTTGTCAACAATGACTTTGAAAATTTTAATTTGTGAATTATAGAAGAATGTTTCCATGTTTGAGTATAAGATAAAAACCCCAACTGGATCATCGTTCTAGCAGTCTCATTTGTTCTTCGTGCACATACATCCTGAAAACATGAAAACTGATAAAGATATAAAATATTGAAAGATTTTGAGCATCATGCATTGTAACACCGCACTTTGGGGTCAAACGCACTTTGGGGTTCGACCCCAAAGTTCGTTACGTACTTTGGGGTCCGACCCCAGAGTGCGTTACGCACTTTGGGGTCCAATTTTGACCCCAAAGTGCGTTAAACAGGTACATATGCATTTTTTAACATCAGACAAGCGACCGAACTTTGGGATCATACAAATTCAATCAATAAAATGAATTCTCATGATGTTTCAAATAATATATTGTAGTCAAAGCCAATGGTAAACAAAAATGAAGGTATTGAATAGAGGAAAAATATGTGTCCTGAATTATAGTAGAATCGATAGGGATTTTAAATGAGTGAAGAACTTTCATCAAATAAAGAATTTGTATCAATTAATAAGCTCAAAATATTTTTTCTTACATTTTCCATTTATTTCAAAAGAATGTACACCTTTCATTAACTCCATTGTTTTCAACTAATTTCATCATTTTATTTTTACATTTTATAGAAATATAATAGTCTTAGCATAGACAAAAGTATAAATTCTGGTAAATCTTAATAAGTCATTTCAGTAAAAATTGTGCCTGATTATAGGTTGAAATGGCCATTTATTTAGCTTATCTAAATGTGACATTTAAGAAACTTGATTAGGTGTATATCCGGCCTTAAGTAGTAGTCCGTACAGGCAGTACACAAAAATATCATTTACTATTTAAGTAGTCACACATTCATAATCAAAGGGCTGCAAGCTCTGTGGTATCTTCTGATCTTTGCAACTAAATCGTACTGTATATCTGTATTATTTTCCTGTGTAAGTTTATTTTTATATACTATAATTCATCTTGCAGGGCACCGAGATGCAGCGACTGCGTTTAGATTTTTTACTGTAACAGTTTGAGTTTGATAGATACGGAATTATGCATGACCAGAGTTGCATCAAAAATCATTTATGTTCATTTTCTTATGACAGCCACACTTTATCCTTGCATATCGTGGCTTCTCGACTGGGATTTGAACCCCAGACCTCTCGCACCTTGGACGAGCACGTTACCCCTGCACCACGGGGAAGTTATACGAAGAAAACCTGAATAAACTCAAATAATTCTATAGAATTTTAGGGTTTCAACTTTGTTATCCTTATTAATTTCGAGGTATTTTGTTCACGATAAACCTGTTATTTAACACTGATGTAAATGATTTAGCAAACATCTTCTCGCCAAAACAGTCTGACATGTATATATTCCACTACTCGACAGTCAGATTTATCTGAAGAATTCGGTAATCGACATCACTAAAAATAGCATTTTCATTGATTAAAATGATATTCATCCGTGTAATTTGTGATTGTGCATTTATTGACAATTCTATAAGCCAATACTACTTTTAAACTTTTAATGCATTGTAAACTTGTTTGATACTTGTAGCAAAATAAAAATATTTTTTTCTTTTACATCGCTAATTTTAAGCTGTTTTGAGAACTACTTGTTGTTAGGTTTGTCGTGAAGCGCTGTGCCAGAGATTGAATGTCAGCATTGTATTTCCTGATCTGCGATCAGAAAATACAATAATGTAAAGTTCTCACTGGGGGGGGGGGTCCAGACGGGATGGTGGGGTCCCGATCACCCCGATATTATAAAAATAACGTTTTAAAGGCCCATTGTGCTTTTATTTGTATTTCTTAAGCTTTTTTTAAATTTGGTGTACTTCAATAGTACAATTATCTGAACCATCCTTTTCATCTGTTGCTTTTTGGCAAGGAGTACAGTTAGAGTGAATTAGTATTTTGCAACTTTTGTGACAATTTTTCACATTTATCGTAACTTTATTCAGGTAACAAGTATCTTTAATATCTCTGATACTATTATTTAAACATCAAAAATTCATGTTTGCCCTTTCTAAAGAAGTATGTAAGATTTCCCATTATAAAGCCTCTGGCGAACGGTTGTTACGGAGCTTACAAAAAACTTAAGTTTGTTGATAAACTTAATAATGTCTTTGTAAAAATCACTATTTATAGTCTGGTCTAGAAACTGGACATTTCACCAGAACATTGCAATAGAGTATTTTATAGTTTTTTTAGGAAAAATATTAACTGCATTTTATTTCATCCCCATCTTATTTAAAATGGGGCTTAATATTGCACAAAAGTTATCAAGTAAATGACTGACAGAACATGATATTTTTTACAGCATCTTTTAATTTTAGGATACACAAACAATTTATGTACTAGAGTACTTTGTTATATGGACACAATTTTAGATATTTCAGATGGTAAAATTAATGAAACTTTTATCACTTAAGCATCAAACCGCCATCTTGAACTCCATCTCAAATATTTCAATGTCGCAGATCGAAAATAAGTCAGAACTCAGTATTTAAGCAGAACTCATTTGACACCTTCAGAACTTTTGAACCCAAAGTGCGTTGATATGTAGCATAATTACGCACTTTGGGGTCAATTTCTCGATTTTGACCCCAAAGTGCGTTTGACCCCAAAGTGCGGTGCGAAGTGTAACGCACTTTGGGGTCGGATCCCAAAGTGCGTTTGACCCCAAAGTGCGGTGTTACAATGCATTATTGCAAACTTATAAAAGATTCATACGGTAATCACAACCTTTTGATCATAATTGAGTTTAGAAAGTTAAAGGGACTCCACTGAGGTTTAAAACGCCTAAAAAAAATAACATTTGAATTTTTACATAAATGAGCTTAGGCACTTTAAACAGAAATATATGCAAAGAAAGTTAAGAAATAAATTGAAAATCGTATTTTTATGCTTTTCTTTGCCCGATTTGAGTGAAAAGCGTTTAAACACTTAATTTTGTGACATTTTTTACTAATTGAATAATTATTCTGGAAAAACGAAGTGTGCAAATGATCTGAAATTTTGCAAAACGATTAGTGGTCTAAACCTACATCAAATGGTACATTTATCTGGAAAAAAAATTTCAGTCTCATCATGTCTAAAAACCTCAGTGGAGTTCCTTTAAATATGCCATTATCATTAATACGTCAACATTGTGTATAATGCATTTCTTACACACTTCTTTGAGCTGTACGTAATTGAAACTGAACGTTATGTCAACGGACCTCGGGCTAATGAGGAAAGAAACGGGAAAGTTCAACGTTTGCAATGACAAGTAGAACCATAAAGGAAACATTTTAATGCATCGTATATCCTTCGTCTCCAAACTTACAAATGTCATGTTTAGAATAGGCAAATACCACCAAGGCAGCTTTTGAATACAACTAGTTGCCGATATTTGACTGAATATATGTTAATATTGCATGATATATAGTAGGTCCATAAAGTCACATAAACTTTACTCACATAGTGAAACGTTCGGCGTCTTCGATGGTTTCTGGAAGCGCTCTATTTACAGTTTCTGGTAACAGTAGTGTCAATATACCTGCAGCAAGACTGGCACTTCCAAATATAACCATTGTCCAGTCTTCTCTCTCGGTGTTTAGCAGCCCATTCTATATTGAAATAAGGCAGAATATCTTTAAAGTAAAATTCCACTGATATAGTCGGACATTTATTATTAAAATCAATTGACATTTTAAAGCATTCAGTGGATAGTAATGTAAAACAAACATTTAACTAACTCACTATATCAGCAATAATTGGCGCTGCCATCGCTCCTAGACGCGCTGCACAAGAGCTCGCCCCGATTCCAGAATTCCGTACAGTTGTTGGAAACAGTTCAGCTGAATATACATAAATGGAAGCGAAGGCTCCGGCTGCGCCAGTTTTCCCGATCAAAGAAAGTGCTATTGCTGCATTATTATCCCCATACTCTGAAGTAGTATCAAAGGAAAAATACATATCTTCTAGTAATATAACGAAGATGGAATAGTGTAAAGCTAAAATTCAATTTAAAGTAAAGATCTCTTTTTTCACAACTAGCTTATATATCACTTATATTGCAAAGAGGTTATATTTTATAGAACACATATTAATGATTATTTACTATATAAACGTCTGTACCTGAGGTCTTCCTGCACCAGTAAAGCTGGAACGTCGCCAAATGACCTATACAGTACTGTGTCGGTTTGACGAAAAACCCAATCAAACAAACAAACAAACATATAAACGACTGCTGTCAATTTACGAATTAAATACTTTTTATCAAATAGAGGAAGTTTTCAGTATTATAGGTTCGTTATAAAGATACTTGACATGATATAATAGTTGTTTGCAATATAGCCATAAAACCGGGCCATATAAAGTGTAGAAAAATATCTTTAAAACTAAAAATATATGTATCAATATTTGTTCTCAAAGCTTATTCTTACGTCATTTTGATTTAATTGTTTTACTTCTCAGAGAGAAAATATCATGAGTGATAACTCTTTCGTTTCTTCAAAAATTACCTTTTGATATCACTGTACCAATACATGCAAGGCCGCCTACACCCATAAACATCATATGAAGCTTTTTACGTCCGATTCGATTGAAGAGTAAAATACAAAGAGCACATGCAGGAAATTCGCACAAACTTAGCAACAGAAAGTCGAGATATACGTTAATACCAAGTTTGTTTGCACTTAATGAAAGCCCATAATACACCAGTGCGACAACCAGCCTGCCAACAGAAGAAGACGTATTTACCATTTACCTACGGAAGCTTATCAGTGCCTCCACTTATCTAAAAGTTTCACGTCATGTCAACTTGTTTCTTCTCGTTTTGACCAAAAACATTCCATGAAGACGTTATGATTAATACGTATTACATAAAACATTCCATGAAGACGTTATGATATAGAGGACATTTGTTTAGTTCAGTGTAAGATCGGAATATATTTCACCTAGTGAGCACCAAAAGGTATATTTCACGAGTGGCGCAGCCACGAGTGAAATATGAACTTTTGGTGTTCACAAGGTGAAATATATTTCGATCTTACACTAAACTAAACAAATTTTCTTTTTATTATATGCAAAGAAACGTTTTAAAAAGACATTAAACCTAATACTGAATAAAAAGCGCGCCAAATAATAATACAACGTGACGTCATTTACGACGTCACGTCATTAAGTTGGAACCCAGTACTGTGCACGCTTGTATTTCACTAAAACAAGGTAAGGGGCTTAAATTCAAAACAGTGAAATTATCAAAGTGGTAATTTCACTGTTTCAAACAGTGAAATAACCAGTTTTATATCACTGATATATTTCTATAAACCACCGAAAAGCATGTAATAAAAAATACGTAATAAGTACAAGTTTTTAATCATTGCAAAAAAACTTTGTTGAATTACGTGAGCTATTTGTCAATACGAGTAACGTCTTTGCATCTTACTAAATATTTCAGCAAAGTCGTGAAATCAAGAAGTTTCGACAGTTTTTTTGTCGAAGAGACATAAGCATCAAACATATTGAGAAAAAAATCAGTTGCAATGCCTAAAAGCTTCTCATCTTTGTCAGTAAATTTTATTGAGAAATGCAAAAACATTTTATCAATGCGAATAAAAATTAGTCGACTTAGCGCAAAACATCTCACCAACTGTAGGCCCTGATACGCTTCCGTAGTTTCTCTCAAGTTTTGTTTTAATTTTATATTTTGCACATTTTTCAATACTTTGCATATTAAATAAGCATTGTATTTTATATAATTGTAACTTAAATAACTGAGATCTTGGAATATTTCTTATTGTAGATGTAAATTAAATTGTCATAAAATAATGTATAAAGTTTAGTTTTTGCTTTATACGAATTGTTAAATCTCAATTCTTTACTTAATATTACGGAAGCGTATCAGGGCCTACAGTTGGAGAGATGTTTTGCGCTAAGTCGACTTATTTTTATTCGCAATGATAAGATGTTTTTGCATTTCGCAATAAAATTTACTGACAAAGATGAGAAGCTTTTAGGCATTGCAACTGATTTTTTCTCGATATGTTTGAAGCTTTTGTCTCTTCGACAAAAATCCTGTCGAAACTTCTTGATTTCACGACTTTGCTGAAATATTTAGTAAGACGCAAAGACGTTACTCGCATTGACAAATAGCTCACGTAATTCAACAAAGTTTTTTTGCAATGATTAAAAACTTGTACGTATTACGTATTAATCATAACTTCTTCATGGAATGTTTTATGTATTACGTATTAATCATAACCTCTTCATGGAATGTTTTTGGTCAAAACGAGAAGAAACAGGTTTACATGACGTGAAACTTTTAGATAAGTGCAGGCCCTGATAAGCTTCCGTATAATATATATTAATTTGTAAATAAAATACTTTTATTTTAGTTATTAATAAATTGTTCCATAAGTACAATTTTTCACATAATTTATATTGATATAGTTTCAAGTAGTATTCAGTCATCAGTTTCAATTCAAAGCTATGTAAAAGTTCATTTTATAAGAATCGGTTGATTAGGCTTTTTATCATCGACCAAGATCTCGGTATCTTCTTGTAACAAAGCGAGTTATTGTTAAATTCCCCAAATCATGTATTTGTTAATTTAAATATTACAATTACTGAATAATTATTATAATTATTTATTATGTATTGTAATAAAAGATATTCCATCTTGACTGTCACAGAATAAAGAACTTGTTTTTCAAAATTTAAATCTTGGATTTTTATTTATCAGTCCTCTAGCCTATCTCCAAAAAGGGGCGCGCATCGAAACCCGTATAACAATAGCATTCTTGTTTTATATAATTGTGATTTGTTTGTTGTATCATATTCGATTGTGTTATTTCACAGTGATTGTTTTATTATGACAGTGTATATGACAAATTCTTTAAATGTTCTTAACAGCATTTTTCATTACAAAAGGTTTTATTCAAACAGGCATAAATCAGTTATTGACGACTATAAGCAAATTTGCAACATGATCTTAAATATCATATTCTGGCTACAACTAGGCAAAACTTTTTGTCATATTGTCTTTGGTCTTTGTGACAAAATATCAAGACAATCATTAAGAAACTTTGCCCTCAACCTTATTCAAAATTATATCAAATGTAGTACATGTATATTGTAACTAATTTAACATTTAGGGCATTGAACGATCTATGACTATATAAACAGAATGATAGATAACGTTAACATCATTTCATTAAAAGTCCTTTTTTTCAAATTTATTATCATTACTTGAGTTACTGCTTGAAAATAAAAGCTACAAAGAAAACAATTCAGGAAATAACAATACTAACCAGTTGAAAAATATGACTAATGTGCGAATGGTCATAACCCTTGACCGAAAAAGATGCCAAACTTTTCCCGAGTCTTCATTTTCGTTATATCTGTCTAAAAACCGTCCATTTTGAAGTCTTACACCATTTATTTTGGCAGCTTTACGTAACACACATTCTGCTTCTTCTCTTCTGCCATTTGCCAAAAGCCATCGAGGAGATTCTGGAATTAACCTAGAAAATATTGAAAGTAAATTTCATTGAGCACATTATTGTTACAATATCATATATACATAAATGTATATATACTTATATCTTTAAAATGATTGATTCCTTAAAAAAAACTTTTGTATTTAGTGAGGGATTATTAAGGCCAGCCTAAACATGTCATGTGCTATCCCCACCATGCACTTATTCTTTATAATACATGTAGTTTGATTGTCAATATTCGCGGAGATTATCTAACTCACATTTTATAGTACTCAAATATTTTAAAAGGCCTTACCATCATAGAGGTTTTTGTTTTAAATATCGCAACCCCGTTATATGTCGCAAAATCGTCTGCCGTTAAATGTCGTAATGGTTATAGAGTATGAGCTGGAAATGGAAAAGGTTACCCCCTCTGGGTATTTTATGGGACCCATGTACTTTTAAAGATAAACATATAGGAAGACATTTGCAACTTGTTGTCTGACTGAAACGTTTACCATTAAGACACAAGCCAATGTGAATTATCTGCCCCTGTCACAATTTTTTAATAAACAGCCTAATTGAAATAACCATTAATTTTTTAACCAAATGAATCGTTATGTAGTCGGTTTTTGTTTTAGATCATAGACAAGGTCTCTAAAATGATTTACTTCATAATTAATTGATGTTATCACTTTTCAAAATGGCCGCCAAATTCAAAATGGCCGCCATTTTCCTCTTATTTTATTAACATTTTAACATAAACTTTGTGGTTTTGTTTTTAAAAAAAGCAAAACATCACTTAATCATAAAAAGTTGTTTGTATAAATATTATAGAAGTTAAATAGACTTTTTGTTGTTCAATTTGGGTTAATGATAATGCTATTAAAGAATATAAATTTACCCCCCCCCCCCCCTTCCAATGTTTTGCAATACAGCATTTTAGTCACATATTAATTATTACTTGAAATCTTCTTCGAAAATTTTACATCAATATAAATTTCCATCTCAATTTTCCTCTAGATCACCTTCTTCATTTTAATCATCTTCTAAACACTTCACTAGCATTTTTATTAGCTATGAGTTCAATTAATCCTGGTGGTAGTATATTTTCTTCTGTTCAGGTACAATGTATATGTGAGACCTCCGGTTATACCAGTATTCCGACCATATCTATCAGGACTTGGAATAGTTGGTATTGACAAAAGGCATTTCACCACACAAATATTTGGTAATTTTATCTAAAAATATGCATCTTTTATGTGGAAAGATATGGTGGTATTGAACGCAAGTCAATAACATAGGTAATTGTAAGTATGTCTGCATTTGGTCTTAAATTTTGTCTGAAAATGTGCACGCGCAACTTATTTATGTCACTTTATTTGTCTTTCCTTTATAAAATGCAAACAAACTGTTCTAGAATTTTGAAATCTTCTTCTTGAATATCAACACTCTTGCCCATTCTCTTGAAGACTGGTTATAAGTATATATTCAGGATATATATAAAAAAATGTTTACGGCTTTAATTTTCCCCCTCATGAAAAAGGGCTCGTGGTATCACATCCGGTGAAACTATGTAGCCCAATCAATGCTTTACAAAGATCTTCTCCTTGTCTATCAATGATTTTATTTACTTTCAATAGTCTTCTATTATTATTATTAGCCACACCAGTGTCAAATAGTATAAATCTGATGATAGACTGTGCTTACGTTAGAAGTTATATCATAACATTAGTATCAGGATATCGTACAATTATTGCTTTGTCATCATTTTCAGCCGCATGTAACATATGTAGCATAATTCTGGTATCGGCTTCCTCCTGAGAAATATGTAGATCTGGAATCGGTATTACTTCTACTTTTCCATCTTTACTTTGGGGGCATATAGAGGATATTTGTTTGTTTTGCATGTAAGATTGAAATATAATTTCACTGAGTGAACACCAGATGCCATATTTTCACGAGTGGCGTAGCCACGAGTGAAAATATAATAGCTGGTGTTCACGAATGAAATATATTTCAATCTTATATGTAAAACAAATAAATTTTCTTTTTATTTCATGCTTTTTAAGTGATTTTAAGTATTTTTTACTGATTTTGCCGCGTAACGTCGCGCATTCTCCTTTGTGACGTCATCACATCATGACGTCACATCATTAATTTTGAAATATAGTTCTGTTAAATTTTGTCTAATTTTGTTACATTTTTAACATGATGTATGGTGACATTGACTTTCTTTTCCTAAAGAAGCAAAATTTACGCATGACAGCATTTATTTCTGCCTGTTATTCCATTTCGTTATGATTTTCTATTCATTCGCACTTAGATATAGTCCGGCTACAGTGAAAATTATATTTTATAGCGAGCTCGACGAGCTGGCCCGAAGGGCCTGCTCGCAAAGCGAGCTTTACGGTAACGCGAGTACCTGCTAAGTGATGGTTTTGAAAACTTTCGTCCAAAGTACCAAATTGGACACATCGCAACCTTTCGAATTTAAAGATAACGATAAAAACTGAGGAATTCTGACTGAAAACGGATGTGTAGACTGGTCACCCGCGCACGTCAATGGGAACCATAATTGGACAGGGAACCAGAATAACGGAAGCTGTGGTCGATAAAATGAAAATCGAAGGCGCCATTTTGTTTGAAATCAGATAAATAAAAACAATTTTTGTCGAATTTCGTTGTGAAAACAATCTAGAATGAAAGAAAATGGTCTAACTAAGAAAATGAATCCGAACACCAATATCTTTTATTCAGTCGTTAACGCTGTACAGACGTTTAAAATATTGTTTACATGACGTCACAATGTAGCGCCAAACAGCACGTGCAAAACAAACAAATCAAGTACGCTATTTTAATGTCGCAAACGTTTTAAGTTTTACATTTATTTCACTTTAAATAATCTTTATTTCGCTTGAAAAAATATAGAGTGAAATAAAATAAACAAAGTTTTATCAAAGTTTTCAAAACTCGTTATTCATTTCACGACAGGGGCGGAGCCATATTTAACACAGTACGTGTGACGTCACACGCACTCGTCACTGCATTTGAAATAAAAATGAGCGATTATTTCATACTATTTCACGTAAAAGTACATCGAGCTCGCTTTGAGGCTTTACCTTTTTCATATTATAGCCTTGTTTTGCTGTAATAGCGAGCTCGACGAGCTGGCCCGAGGGGCCTGCTCGCAAAGCGAGCTTTACGGTAACGCGAGTACCTGCTAAGTGATGGTTTTGAAAACTTTCGTTCGAAGTACCGAATTGGACACATCGCAACCTTTCGAATTTAAAGATAACGATAAAAACTGAGGAATTCTGACTGAAAACGGATGTGTAGACTGGTCACCCGCGCACGTCTATGGGAACCATAATTGGACAGGAAACCAGAATAACGGAAGCTGTCGATAAAATATCGAACGGAAATGTAAAATGAAAATTGAAGGCGCCATTTTGTTTGAAAAATCTGATAAATTAAAACAATTTTTTGTCGAATTTTGTTGTGAAAACTATTTAGAATGAAAGAAAATGGTCTAACTTAGAAAATGAATCCGAACACCAATATCTTTTATTCAGTCGTTAACGCTGTACAGACGTTTAAAGTATTGTTTACGTGACGTCACAATGTAGCGCCAAACAGCACGTGCAAAACAAATAATAATAATAATAAACACTTTATTTCATGAAGGTAACATATTAAGAAATACAAATCTTATTTACAATATGGCCTTCAATTAAACAAGATAATGAAAGTCACAAATATGTACACACATATTAAAAACAACATAAACAACACCATTCAAATTGACAGACACATGCATACATCAGATTCATTTAAATTGTATATCAATCAAATATTTGTTCACATTTCTTTTAAAAGCATATAGAGACGAAGACTCTTTAATATATAAAGGTAAATTATTCCATACTTGCATTGCATTATTTCTAAAAGTTCTTTTAACATATTTCGTATTAGATCTTACATGTATTATGTTTCTATTTGTAGTTGATCTAAGTGTATACGTTTGATTTTTCGAAAACACTATGATATCTGAAATGTAGGAAGGAGTCAATCCTTGTATAGATTTAAATACTAATAATGCTGTATGATATGTGCATCTATTTTCGAAAGTTAACCAGTTTAATTTAAGGAAAAGCTGTAAAGAATGCGTTTTAACTGGTTTACACAATATTATCTTTGCTGCGCGTTTCTGCAGTTTATTCACTTTTTCAAATTCAGTTTTATTACAAGTACTCCATATAATACAACAATAATCAAAACAAGGTAAAATATAAGCATTGTAAAACATTTCTTTCATTTCAGCGGATAAAAAGTACGATATACGCTTTAAGAGAGCAATTTGTTTTTGTAATTTATTACAGACGTGCTTTATTTGAACATTCCATTTTAAGTTTTCATCTAAGTAAATACCTAATAATTTCTGTGATTTCGTTTGACTTAGGCATGTACCTTCTATATTTATATCTAAAGAAGGTTTTGATTTTAATTTATTTTCTGACCCTATTACCATGCAAGTGGTCTTTTTCGGATTTATTGCCATGTTGTTTAATTTACACCATTTGCTTATATTATCAACATCACATTGCAGAGTTCTCTGAATCACTTCAATTTTTTTATTTGATGCATGCATAGTTGTATCGTCAGCATACATGTCTATGTTAGAGTGTGTTGTACTAAATGGCATATCATTAACGTAGAAAATGAAAAGTAAAGGGCCTAATATAGACCCTTGAGGGACCCCTGATTTCACTGTTCCACTATTTGAATGACTATTTCCATATTTGATAAACTGTGTTCTATTTTCAAGATATGATTTGAAGAGTTGAAGAAACAAATCAAGTACGCTATTTTAATGTCGCAAACGTTTTAAGTTTTACATTTATTTCACTTTTAATAATCTTTATTTCGATTGAAAAATTATAGAGTGAAATAAAATAAACAAATCATCGTTTTCAAAACTCGTTATTCATTTAACGACAGGGGCGGAGCCATATTTAACACAGTACGTGTAACGTCACACGAACCCATCACTGCATTTGAAATAAAAATGAGCGATTATTTCATACTATTTCACGTTAAAAGTACATCGAGCTCGCTTTGAGGCTTTAATTGCCTTTTTCATATTAAATTTCACTAGTGGTTTATCAGAATATAATCATCTGATATATTACAATAAAACACTGGAAAGCATGAAATAAACACATGTCTCTTCACAAGCACAAGATTCTCCTTCCGTCCAATTTCCCTGCATATTTATCTTTAGACAATTCCTCTAATACCAATCTTATGTTTTTGTTACCTGGTCTCTGTTCATTGTATAATCGCCTTCGAGATCATGCATTAGTTTTGCCTTGGCAGTCTTTGTTGGTAAGTTATCTGCTGTAGCTAAGAGACCAAGGCACTGGTCCAAGTGGGTACATAAGGGGCTTTGTAAGGATAATGTCATTTTCTTCTGATAACATGATATGCTGACCGAAGACATTGCCAGCGGCCTTAACTTCAACAAGATTGTTCTGAGTTTATGTCTCTTTCTTAACTTTCTTTGTATCGGCAAAGGTTTTTCAGTTTTGCTTCTTCAGTGGAGCATAAAAACTAACAGTTTTATCAACCAGACGTTCTTGGGGGAGCTTTTTGTGTGCTTCAAGTCCATTTTGGTATAGGCATCAAACAGACTCTTTTCGATCTCCTCTGGTGCAGGAGACCCTAAACTTAAACATCCCAATTATCTGTTGCAAATGGATTCATAAAGTTAGTTATTGATTCTTTGAGTTTCGTGACATTTTTTTTCAAATGCAGCTATATTTGCTGGTTGTGTACCAATGTGTGTGGAAGAATCCGCCGATATGCTCGCCATGCGGAATGTAGCCTCAACATAGCTGGCTTTCGAGTGTTGTGTTTGACTCCATCTGTAGTAGGCAGCAAAGTTTCTGCTGAATCCTATTATGCCTCAACGAGACTTTGCACATCTGTTTATTATTTGCTCAATAGTTACATTAACAGCATTACAGAAACCGTTATTTTGAAGAAGCTTTCTTGATCTAGTGTGTTGAATCAATTTATCACCGTAAGAACATATACAAATAGATATTTTGCATAGTTTTGATGATCATATGCAAAGAATAATTGTAATATATTTTATAATGTTAATATGTATAGGTCAAGATCATTTTCCTTCGTTGCTCTCATAAAACGAAGAAGCAGCCAAATCTTAACAATAAATCCCTTCAAATCTGTGCTGTCTTCCCTAAGTGACCTTTTCCGACGTCTTCCGTGAACTCTTGATACCTCTTGTAAAGTACAATGACAGAATCATTAGCTAACACATCTTCAAGGTGTTCACCTCTTTGATTCTCAGCAAGCACATTTAACGCTTGGTTGATATCTTCCAATGCACTAGAGTTGTGGATTTGGATAACTAGTGCTACAAAATCTTCAAAAAGCAATCTTTCGAGAGCTTCTACTGTAAACACGTTAACACATTCACTCTTCTCTATCAGGATTTCTGAGAAACCACTTTCACAAAGTCGTTTGCCAATCGCCCCTAGGTATGAATCTAGCAAACGAAAAGCCCCTTAATGTATGATAGTATCACTGTACTTAGTCGGATTTTCCATACTGTAGAATATGCCTTTTAGCAGCAGCCAAATCAAAGGTCACAAATGTGTATTGTTGGTTTACAGCTCTTGAAACACTTGAAATTTCTAGAATTTTCTTAACAGTTGCATTTTTTGTACTTTGGGCAATTAAAGTACATTGGTAGACATGTACTCTTCTGTAGAGGATGTTTGATCATGCAACTCAGATGTTAGAGATATCCAGCCAGTCCAACTTGGAACAATCTGCTTGTCATGTACACATGAACCAGAGAAAGTCAGATTTAACAGCAAAACCCGAAACATTTCCTTTGTCGAAACTTATAAATATTGATAAATGGTTCTTATTTCCCAGTAATTAAGCATTCAGCCAATTCTTCAGGATTGTATTTAACAGTGCATGCCTTACTCGCCTGTATATTTGATATATTAGTGGATGTTTGTTCTCTTTTAGTGTCATCATCATCATCTTACGGCTGTTCTCTTTCTTGAAAAACAATTCTGTGTGCAGTATGGGTTGTTATTTAGATGGATTAGATGGAAATGGTCCCAGGACAAATGTGTTATGAAATTGCTTTTACAGATATTGCATCAGGGAGAACAATGTCCTGATCAAGAGTACTGTTACACAGTTTCCAACTCCAAAATCTGAGAGTATGACTGACAATGTCCGAAATGATTCATCAGTGTCTTATGCTGTCATATGCTGTGTTGCATTTCAATAAAGATTTATTCAACAAAATCACTCTAAAACAATTGATTTTAAGGGAAAAGCATACTATTACTAAAGCAAACTGTTATCTGTTTTTTTTTCTAATGGCGCAATGAAAATAGGGGAAGTAACTTTATAATGTTTTTTAAAGGGGAGTAACAATGATAATGAAATGTAATACAGTAATTCCAATTATTATTCTAATAATAATAAAAAACTACCAACAAAAGGCTAAGTCATTTAAAATAAAATAAGAGTAAGAACAGTTTCCTTTGGTGAAACTCAACGAGCAGCCTCTGTCAAATAGTCATTGTGGTGCGGGTAAGCTCTACAATTCATTATAGTCATATGGATATACAGAAACAGAACGGAACAGAGAATTCTACTACCAACTTTTCAAATTGTTTTTCATATAAGTGAGAGTATATTAAGTTTCTAGAGAGCACAAAAAGTCAATATTCGCATGAAATTCAATTAAAAGTATCTTATCGAACTTTAAAGGCAGCTCAAATCGACTCCAAATATTTATGGTTCATATCTCTCTAAAATTGAAATAATATTCAAGAGCATAACATTTAAAATTCTACCTAGAATAGAGTTAGTTTCACTGAGCATATCATATATAATTTATAATTACATCAAACAATGTATAAATGGGTTTAAACACATTAAATATTGTTATGAATTGTTTATCTGTTCAATAATTGGTGGCCATTTTAAAATGGCTGACACCATTAATTATGTTATTTTTATGTTAAAACTTAAAACTTTTTGTATAAAACATAAAACATATATTTACAACTCAAAATAATGTTAAAGATCACAAATTTACTCTGTCATAGAGAAGATATCTGAAGAAATCTTACAAAACTTATATAGAAAAAATATGATTCAAGGGGAGATAATCAACTAGTTCTATTGGATTCATGGTAAACGTTTCAGCTAAACAACAAGTGCCAATCAATAGCACATACCCTAAGCTTCAATACTATATAGGTGTACAAAAATACCCAGGGGGGGGGGGTAAGGGGGGGTTATGCTAGCCCAGCGTCTATTAAGTTAAATGTCGCAACACTATCGTTAATTGTCGCAAGATTTAAATTCAGGATAAACTCGTGGCTAATGTCGCGTATTTTAAAAAGATTGGGGCTACCAATCTATCTGCTAGGAAGGCTTTGTTTTGACCACAAAATGATTGGTTGTTTTCAGGGATGGACATTCTTATCGTGTTTTAACCATCATTTATGTCCAATTACTCATCCAATCAGGCTTTTGCACACAAACGTGTTTTCATTTAACAACCTACGTGTCGAGGTTTTGAGCCACGATAAAACCTGAAGATAGGGAAGTATATTCTATTATAGTAAAAACACTAGAAAAACTCTTTATTTTAGCAGTTTTACTGCACATGTACCAGGGCGCCCAATAATATGGAGCATATGCTAATCCCGGGTACACTTAAAATATCATATATCTTATCACATTATGTGAAACAAAGTTATTATCATTAGCCAATTTGGAAAGTTATATTGTTTTTATCTTCTGCTGAATTCTCTCCAGCACATATGAAGCTCGAATGGAGTTTTGACCATCAATTCCTTTATTTTTTGCCCAATCTCAATAAATGTTTCAATTTGTGTGTAAGATTTTGTCAAAACTCTGTATTTGGAGTCCAACATTTTCTTCGTACGAATTGCATATTTTTGGCACACCAGAACCCACGACGGAAAAAAATATCGATGAAGATTTCATAAAACTCTAAACAAAAATAAAGAAAGAAATAAAATAAAAATTAAATAAAATAAAGAAATAAAGAGGAAAGTCAGGAGTGTAAAAAAAGCTTTGAATTTTATATAACTGTTTAAAATGTCGAAAACGTACCCTGTGATTGACCTATTTTCTCCATGACTTATCGAGTTATAGCGCACATCTGAATTAGCGGAAATTCACATATAATTTTTACCGATGCTTAATTTTGAGATGCATATGGGGTTCCATCCCGTGTATACGTCAAGTCGATATTCATATTCAATTGAAGAACAATTTTTACAGTACAATCGCAATTTAGCAGTGTCGTGCAAATAGACAGACACTAGTATTTCTTAACTTAAGAACAGCATACACCGCAACATACTTAGAGACGAGTATTATAACATGTAGCGCATAAAGTTTATACAGAATTTATTCGATTTGTACAAGAATATAGAGTCACTCTCAAACTAACAAATACTGTGCAATCAGATGGAAATTTCTTGCACACATAAACCTTTATCAGTCAAACTTTTATTTTCGTCACAACTGACTTTCAAAAGGGATATTTAGTCTGTAGCCAGATGAAAAAGGGCATTCCCAGACGTTATATTCAATAATAAATGTAAAAGCTATAATAATACTAGCTAACATAAGTTAAATATTAATTTACATCTTGCGACATTTAACGGTAGCGTTTAGCGGCAATTGTGCGACATTTAGTGGCAAGTGCAACATTTAGCGGCGTTGCGACATATAACGGCGACACAAACATGTTTTATGTTTTATATTAACATAAGGGTGCAAGTAAAAGACAACATCTACCAATAATATGCCAGATAGACAATATTTGGTATCGCCGCATATAATTCTAAATTTCTCCAGTCTCGTACAAAGTAAGCCATGCCCGCTAAAGTAACATGACCAATTGCGAAGAACGTATGGATAAGTGTCCCCGCCCACAATCGTTTTGACGGTCCAACCATTTCCATCCCTGCCACAAATACAAGTTGAAAATTTAAAACCGCGCGTTTTCTTTTTGGAATTCGTCAAAATAGGAAAGACAATCTAACAAATTTACTTTAGAAATTTTATCCTAAGCAAGTAGAATCGTTGTTTATTTATTTATTTATTTATTTATTTATTTATTTATTTATTTATTTATTTATTTATCTAATGGACATTAAGATTAAAATAATATTTTTATATACCTATAACATATGATGTAAGGAATATTCCAGCGCAGGCGGCCCCAACTAGAAATCTAAGTATAATATACAGTGTTACAGACTTGACCCAGTAAATTGTTATGCCTGACATCACTACCAACATGAATGAACTGTGCAATGTGTTTTTCCTACCAAACCTAAAATAAAAAAAAAATGTTCAGTAACATTTTTATCATTCGATCATTTTCGATTATTAATAAAACAACAATTATAATGTTAAATACATGTATTTATGTACATTACAAATAAATTGTTTGGATTATGACTTTTTTCAGACATTTCATAATCGGTATTACATGGCTATATATTTTATAATAAAGATGTGGCATTTTCAACAGAAAAAAATGCAAATATCCGGGTTGAGTGTCGCGGCGGCATATTGTAACACTTCAGAAATTTCTGCGATGGGTTTGCGTGGAGTAAGCATAATTTTTGTGTGATATGCCATACATTTTCATAGTTCAAATAAAAAATGGGAACTTATATTGACATTCTCTAAATAATACTTATATTTCAGAATGCTTTGGTTTGCTGATATGAATACCTTTAAGCACACTTGTTTACGGACATTATCAAGCACTTCAAAAAAACTAAAAAGAAAGCAATTGATGGAGTTCTTGTCACTTTAAATATTTTTAAAAACTGTCTTTACGAACATGAATAAACAATGATGAGAAATTTAATTATAAATAAACAATATAAACAATTCATCAAAAAGATGATACATATTTTCACCTAACAATTGTAAACTGTGGCCTACAAAAAAAAAACGTTTTCGTTGAATTTTCATTGCGTTGAATTTACCATGTAAAAGGTTTTAAAGCTATCAATATCATCAACAAACGTTGGGTTCAGAAGTTATCAGTTCGTTTCGAAGTGAAGGCAACTCTTACTGGTAAACTGCTGGGGAGTCTGTCCAGGAACAACGCGGTAGCTAAACTATGCTGTGGTGAATTAAATGTGACTTTACTGCCATTATCCCGGGGGTAAACTACCAACACCACCGCCCTAGGTCCAACAACTTTATACAATTATCATCTTAAAGTAACGAAGTAAAATAATTATTTCGTTTGGGTTCAAATTTTCTCCACGCATATTAGTACCGCTCTTGTTGATTTCCTAAACTTGTATTTACACTCGATCGATGCGACCATCAAAAGAGACATTCATGGAATATTCTCTACGTATGTATTGCTGATACTAACTATTATAATTCACAAATCTTTTGATTGCATCTAGTTTGCTAGATTATTACAACTGAAAGATAAAAAGGACCTGTCTGATAAAAATCCAAAGCCGATAGAGCCAACCAGAAATCCAGCAAAGAATAGCGTCTTGATAACTGTCTGTTTTGTGACTTTGGCATCTTCGCAAACAAGATTAAACTAAAAAAAATAAACATCATTAAATAATTTCCAAACCATTTATATATACATTGTATATATATTCTCCAGCAATGCAAAATATAGGTGTACCGGCAAACGGTATTTAGCTAGGTTTTCGCAAATGTAAATAAACCATGTACGGTTTACAGATCACGTGCTACTCCATGTACCGAACACAGGTCATGTGCTCCTCCTTGCCTCAAATATTAATCGCGTACCAAATACCCTGCAGAGGTTTATCCTAAATTGTCAGACAGTTTTCTCTGTAAATTTGTTTGAATAAAACTGACCTTTATAAATATACATATGATATACAATGTTATGTTTTAAATTAGTTAAAGAATGATTCAGACATTAACAAAAAGTAACGTTGTATTAAGAGATATAAGGACGTAAAGAATATACATTTTATGAGCAATGTTCTACGTTACCTCTGTTGTGAGGGTTTCTTCAAATTCTGATTTGTCATATACCCATTTGTCACATTTATGGGAAGTTGCGTTTATTGGATAGCTGTAGTTGTCATAGTTACTGACATTCATAGGGAATATATAACATGCGTTATATTTCAAATCTGGATCGTTCGATAGAGGGATTGTTTCGTTAACCAATATCGAACAGGCGTCGTATGTGTCATTGTCGTATCCTGGTATTGCACATCTAAAATGAAACAAAAATATCACTGCTTGAATATTATTATATTGTTACCGTTTATTCCAAGTTTAGGGGATTTGGACATCAAAATGTTACCTACAGTATCAAGTCTTGTCAGACCGAACGGGTGTGCAGGATGGCTTGGCTTTAATCTAGACTGGTTGGAAAATGTATTCACTATTGGTTTCAGCAGATTACGTGTAAACTTGTCTTTCTATATGTTGATAAAAATGGATCAGATTCCTTTATAAGGACTTTCATGGGCCATTGCATAGAAAAACATGAAACTAGTGTCTTGATTTGAAGGAACACACGAAGCACAGTGCATAGTGCATTTCTATCAGATGCACTTTTGCGTCATAGAGTAAACCAGAATACATTTACGAAGAAAAATTGACGTATTTTAACTAATCTAATGTAATATAATCTAGTGTAATCTAATATAAAGATGAAACTTCTCACATGCATAAAAGTAATACTGTAAAAGTATAAAGAAATATTTTGAATCAAGTAAGCTTCTTGATATAGAAGTAAATATGGAACACGATTTTAAAAATCCGGTAAAGAATTTGTTCAATGTTATAAAGTATACGTGTAGTAAGATATTGCAAACATTGCCATGTAATAAAAATATGTTTCCCTGACAAAAATTCTATCAACGGTTGTTATATAAGAAAGATTTAATGATTATGCAAATAACTAGATTTTGATAAAACTGATATCCAGTCACCTGTGCTTGGGGACTCCTAATGCAAACACAGAAATCAGCATAAGTATTCCACAGTTGATAGCTGGCAAACATACTACAACATACAACACTTTCTGGTATGTACCAAATTCTCCAATCTTTTTTAAAACATCATCAAACTTCATTTTTATTCTGTAAACTTTTTCAGATTTTTATTTAACAAATATGTATGACCATTGCAGTGCATCTATATGTATATATGTAATCAATATCAAAGTTTCATTTCATTATCACGTTATGAAAATAAACATAATTATCACGTGAATTTGCAACCAAATATAAATTTAAACAAATGAGATAAATAATTGTAAATCATACATGCACATAATGCTTGTGATAACGATAATAGTGATAGCTACTCAAGGCGAACTTCCGCATTGTTTGGGAATTTTAACTATTGTTTTATTACTGAGAGGTCTTCTCCTGCTTACTTTTATATCGACGTTCTGTCTTAGCAGACCTACAGCTTGTATGTCAGTGTCACCATTTGTCTCTTTGTCTTTTGTGCAACTAGCTTTGTAATAAATGAGCAGTAAGATGTAAAATCAACCACTTGAATATCTTGTTTTTGTATGGCATGCCGTTTGTTACAACTGCAGTCCTTCGTTCAACGGAAGTGCATTTTCAAAAACAAGTTTAGTATCAAATAGAACCGACTGTCAAGACTGATGTAAGTATTTGATCAACGTTCTCCATTGATCATCAATGATCTTCACAGATGTTTTGATCGTGTCCGGTTGTTACAAGCCTATTGTGCGTTTCCATTTTTACATGGAATAGCTAATGTACCTCATACTTCTTTTCCACAGATTATAGCAACATAGTATCTGTCATGCAATGTCATGATGTCTTTTTTGTAGGTGACAGTGATGCAGAATGTAAACAGATAATTTGAATACTTCACAGAAAATTCCAATAGAATATTTCAAAACTTCTCTTGAAAAAGGATAAGTTTATAAATGTGTTAATCTAATCTCACGGTGTGAATAATTGACAAAGATATGTGGTACTGGAAGTAGCCGGAACAAAAAGGTAGTCAATTTTTGTTCCTACAGTCATTTTCACGTTTCCCAGGACGACTAAGATCATCTCAATCATATTGTTAACTTAGATTTTCTGTTACCATGTGTAATTGCCAGACGTATCAACTGAATAAGACTTTTGAACTTTGGTTTGTGAAACGGCAATATATACCATAATGACCTTATCAGATAGTTCTCTTCATCCTCCTTCTATATCGACCTAGATCCGAGTTAACAAACCGAGGTAATCATTTGAGCAGAAATGTTTGCGTTTCTTTTTTTTGTGTATGTGATTATGCATGTGTAATACAGCTCTCGTAAAGATCCTGTATGTTGTAGTTTAGGTTGTTACCACACTAAAGTGAAATTTTGTATACGTACATAATAATGCTTTCTGAAACAATTTTCAAATATCGAAGAATAATATTATGTAAAATGTATACTGCAAGTATTTGTCCACATTATATTCTATTATTAAAATACAAATGTTTGTCTATTTTAATAAACGTCAGTATGAATTGTTTCTAAATCTCCGAATTATGCATTTTACAGAAGAGAAACTTAAGTTAGTCAAATGGACATTTGATTATAATTAAAAATGATACGTATATATATGCGTGTATCTTGACTTTTCTAAGGTGATATGACGCAATATAGAAGATTGTATACACCCAAACATTTGCTTTATTCAAATTATTGCTGTGAGTGTCATGTTTTGTTTTTCTATTTATTCTAAAAATCAATAACAATAAAACATTTGCTTTTTATTTTACTTTTTTATCAGTCACTTACAAACATGTTAAGACTTTTAAAAAACCATAGTCAGTACACTCATACGCATCAATTAATGTTGATAATATAATTTAACGGACTATCATGTAGTCGTCCTTGGTATCACACTGGAATTACATGTATGTGTAAATATTTTTATTTACTCTTACATTCAATTACATGAAATGTACGGTTTTCATAAAATTTGTAGTATTTTTTATATTAAGTCAACTAAGTGCAAAATATGATTTAAAAATGAATCTGTTATTTTTATCCACCTAGCTTATGGAACGTCGGTGGTTGTTCTACTCATGTGTTCGTTCATGACATAAAGCGGGAAGGGACAATTGATGTATTTATTAACCAATAAATACCTTTAAGGTACTTGAGCGACGGAAAACCCAGCAAAAATAGCTACTGTTTTCATATAACGCATATTCAATTTGCTGTTGTTTTCCTGCTTTTCGAGAGCAACAGTAACTGTAGTCCGTGTTCATTACAAAACAAACAGATAGCTATTTTCATCACGACAGGATAATTCCAAATATTTATTTTGATATTTATAGTTGTATGGAACTGAATAAACAAACAATTTAAAGTCGCCTTTGATAAACAATACCCTACATTCAAGTGGTCAACAGAAATAATGTTCTTGGATAGAAGTTTTATACAAATAGCTTTTATATAAGGTTTGTTTTATTCAATCCATTTTTTTCTTCAAATTTATTCGTATGTCCATGTAATAAAGCATGGTTTGACATTGATGAGTTGTAGCCATTACTAGCGTATTCCATACATCATTCTAGTAGTGGTTTCTTTTCTTCATGGACTGATACAACTCTGAAATAAAAATTTGCATGTCAACATTCTGTAGTTTTACTTACTTTTTGCAAAGTAAAAGTTTCAAAACTTCATGTTCAAATTGCAAAATGCACCATTCTTTAGTACTACATTACCAATTACCAACTTTTATAAAATGGATTAACGTTCCAGTAGATTGTTAATATACTTACAGATGGAAACGTTCAGCGTCTTCAATGGTCTCCGGCAGGTGTCTGTTTACAGTTTCTGGTAATAGTAATGTTAATAAACCCGCAACAAGACTTGCACATCCAAATATAACCATTGGTAGTGCTTCTCCTAAATCGCTGTTTAGTAATTGATTCTGAAAGGAAACAACTAAAATACATAAAGAATTGACTATCAACTAGTAGCACATAGGAATTTGACAGCATAATTAGTAATCAACTATGAAATCAATCAAATTTCAATATAGGTTGCATGTAAGGGCTGTACATTGCCTTTTTTCAATCACGATACATATCACGATATTCTTTTGTTCAAATTCATATGCAAATGAATTGTGAATTTTATCATACATTTAAATCAACATAAAAATCGCGGCAATCTGTACTTACAATATCTGCTATGTACGGTGCCGCCATCGCACCTATGCGTGCTGCACAAGAGCTAGCTCCGATTCCAGCATTCCGTACAGTGGTTGGATAAAGTTCGGCAGAAAATACATAAATGGAAGCGAATGCTCCTGATGCCCCGGTTTTTCCGATCAAAGCAAGGGCTATTGTTGTGCTTTCGGAATCTGTTATATGAATACAGAATAGAGTTCTTTGATTTAAGATGAATCAAATTATGTTTTATATGTATATAATTAAAGTAAACTTAAACATTAAAAAAGGTATGCATCTTGTATATTTGGAATAAAATTTTAACTTACATGGACTTATGTCGTACAAACATACCTTATGAAATATGTATTATGTAATAGAATTTTAAAAATACTTATTTTCTAGGGTAAGGGGCTATTTTTTCACAATAAGATAATGTATTGTTTAGCCTTTATTAACAACTTTTCCTGTTAAATCACGCTCAGGAGAACTTATCATGATTTTAACGTGTTTGTAATATTTGCAGCATCAGAGTATGAAGGAGAATGCGAAAGTTACTAAAACATGTTTACCTTTCGTGATTACAGTAGCAATACAGGCGAGACCACCTACCACCATGAACATGAAATGTAGTTTTTTACGTCCTAGTCGGTTGAAGAGTAAAATACAAAGAACACATGCAGGAAACTCGCAGAGACCCAGCAACAGAAAGTCGAGATAAACATTAATACCAAGGTTGGCCGCGTTTAATGATAACCCATAATATACCATTGCAACAACCATCCTAGAAAAAAATTGTACAGTACAATAAATTCATCATTGTAACTTCATATTCCGTTTGTCAAAATATGTTTCGTCAAAAATCAATTCTCACTGAAATACAGTTATCTTTACAACAAACTGATTTATTCAAGACTTGTTCAACATTTTTGACCACAGTGCGATTATATATTAAACCAGCATCATCAGCGACCCTTGACGAATTTTGGACAAATAATTTGTCAAGACAAGAAAACCTACACCTGATACGATAATTATTACTACTAGACACCAATTGATACAGATTGGTGTCAACAGGGCTTTAAAATATATTCGCAGTTTCCATCACAATGATGACTTAGTTAATCCGTTTCATTTTTTTTTCCGACTAAAATTTGTTGTATAATTATAAATCATGTACGCATCTTGATATTAGTCAACCTTGTAACCAGACCCATCGTCAGATAGGTTTGCGATATGATTTATTCATTTTCTATTTGTGATATTAGGTACTCGATATGGTAAAATGTTTCTGATTTAGAAGATCAATTGAGAGCTATAAAATGCTATGCTCGTAAATGAATATATCCACCGTATTAAGAAGAAATAGTAAGTCACTCTTTAAGATGAAAAATACGGAAACCTCCACTCTCAATCTAATCCTCCTTTGACTGATGTTTTGTTTTAGAGTTACAAAAACTACAGTGTACACAACGGAAATAGTAATGACCAAACTAACCAGTTAAAAAATATGACTAATGTCCGAATTGTCATAACTTTTGACCGAAACAAATGCCAAACTTTTCCAGTTGCTGCCGCCATGTCATTATCGTCCAAAAAACTTCCTTCTCTAAGAGAGACCTTATTCACTTTAGCAGCTTTACGTAACACAACTTCTGCCTCTTTCCGTCTTCCATTCGCCAAAAGCCATCTGGGAGATTCAGGAATCAGCCTGTGAACATTAAATAAAAGTAAACCTCTTTTCAAAGATTCATTTTGTATTTTATTACTAAAATGTAAATATTGCGTGAACTCAGTATTTGGGGTGATAAGTGTATTTTTCAGATTTTTAAAAATGACACCTTAATATATTTTCAAACGTAATGTGACAATCTTTTGTCTCAGCTATACTCGGTGAAGGACATTGTACAGGTTATGTCAATTGAAACCATACAGAAGCAAAAGAAATTATTTAAATATAAGAAAAAGCCATTTCTACTCTAATAAGACAGATAGCGACCCAAGCCCATGGGTATAATCACCGGATATAGATCCTTCTACATTTAGTTCGATCAAACAGTGGTGAGGTGTAAATGATTCAAAACAAATGATTTTACAAAATAGTTAAGGAGGTCCATACTAAAGTTAAGATATCTAAGCGAAAGTGTTTAAATTGAAATTGTAATAACAGAAAGTTAAAATAAAAATACCAATAATAAGACAGGTAGATAACATTTGGTATTGCCAGGTATAGTTGTAACCGTCTCCAGTCACGAACGTAATAAGCCACACCCGCTAAAATAACCTGACCAGTAGCAAAAAACGCATGGATGAGGGTCCCCGCCCACAACCGCATTGATGGTCCAACCATTTCCATTCCTATACACAATATATTTGCATATCTAAAAAATAATAACGATCCTCGCTATTGTTTATAAATCATAATAAAAACTCATATAATATTATCAGTAAGTAAAAACGTGTAGCCTCAATATTATTCTAAAAGAATTAACCATTCATTTAAAGATCCTGTAACTAATTTTTCTATGTTTTCATATCCTAAATATGATGCTCAAATGAAGATTTGTCAATATTGTTAGTTCCAAAAAGCATTATTTGAAAGATATTACCGAATTTATATTTCATTAAATAAAGGGAGGTATTGAAATTTATTTTCTATAAAGTCTAAGCCAAATTTTTCAATAAGAAATGAATGCATATCTTTAAATGATTACATTTATAATGTGTTTAAACATTTGCAGTTATCTTTAACATATTCTTGGATGTTTGAAAATTGTTTTAGATGAATAATAATATACATATATAAAATTTCACTTAAGTGTTGATAGATCCTGAAATACAACATAGGATCTCCATTCACGTCATACCTATGACATATGACGTCAGGAAAATCCCTGAACAAGCAGCTCCCACTAGAAATCGCAAAAAGATGTAAACTTCCAATGATTCGGCCCAGTAAAGTGTCACACTTGAAACTAATATCAATATAAAGGAGATATACAAAGTCTTCTTTCTGCCGATCCTGGAAAATAAAGATAAAACTTCTGTGGTCAATAACGGATATTGTTGTAAACCCCTTTTCTTTATGTAGATAATGTCCCAGTCTCACATAAGAAGCCGATATGTATTCAGTTTATATTGTGAATCTTTGAATAAATTGTAGTGCCATATATTGTTGGTTTTGTACTACACAAGGGATTATATAATAAATACATCTATAGTTCCACAAAGTTTACATTGAACTATCGCCTTTTCATAAAATCGTTTTAATTACTACATTTCAAACAAAATAAAGCAAAAAAGTGTTAAATGTATGAATACAAAAAAAATAGAAGCAATCAATGCTGACAAGACTTTGTACATTTTAGACATTTTCCTTTTTACACGTTTAGTCAAAAATAAAAAAACATTTTTTTTAAAATTAATTCGCGATAAATTTAAAAACTACCGACTTGTCAGATAAGAGTCCAAATACAAATGAGCCAACCATGACTCCGCCAAAGAACATCATCTTGGCCACTGACTGGAGAACCAAATCATCACAAACAAGATCTAGCTGGAAAAAAACAAGCATCATAACTGGAATAAATGCCATGTTTAATTTTGTACAAGAGTCAAAGTTTGACAAAAGGTCCGAAGTTTAAATCTATATACTGATCCCAAGTTAACAAGTAGTACTTAGTTTAAATCTGAACAATGGTTATTATTCAAGTCAAGTCAAGTCAAGTCAAATTTCCTTTATTACACACATTTCATGTTAACATGAATAAATGTGGTTAGTAATAAGTACAATGTTAGTAGAGGCTCTTTAAACAAATGTACAATGTATAATTATATAATTTGAGTGGTAAAATAATTCGTAAAAAGAGTTTTTATTCATATCATTTGCTGAACTGCAGTACGTTCAATTAACGATGTATCAAAACCACAAATTGTTAATTTTCTTAGTAAATATGTTACCACAAAAACCGTGGAGAGTCACGTAATTTAGACACTCTCTAAGGGAATAATTTCGTTTTATATAACCTTTCTTTTTATTTATCGACAAACGATGAGAATGGTTACAAAAAAAGAAATAATAATATAAACAACTGACAAGTGATGTTCAATTATGTACGACATAATATTTTAAACCTTTACAATGACATTTATAGACTCATACTTATAAGCTAAATGAAAAAAGTGTCATACTATTTAGACAAATATTATAACAAACAAACACTTTACTATGGGTAATAAAAGATTAATCTGTGAAATATTCGTGTAATAGTCTTGGAATGTAATGTAAGTAATCACATATGAGGTGAATACTAATTTGATTATCTTAAAATTATTGTTTTAACAAATTTACATAATTTCAAATATTCGCTCTTGTTTTCTGTATTAATTAGTTGTTCTAGTTTGAATGTATTTGCACGTCTGTAATTATAGGGTTTCAAAAATTTCTTTCTTTCATCATTAAGCAAAACACATTCAAATAAGTAATGAAATGCGTCGCCTATTTTATTGTTACAAGAAGTACATGTTCTTTGATTGATTGGTATTCGGGCCCAATTTCCGGTTTCTATTGGTAATCTATGGTTACGTGTACGAAATTTTATCATGTAACGAAGAAAAGGTTTAGGGGTTGATAAAAGGTATTTTTCGAATTTAAATTATTTTTTGAATATTCTGTAGAATGTACTTTTGCTAGAGTTTTGAATAACGGAATACCAATCATTTAGAAAAATATCTTTTAGTTTCTCTGTCTAATTGCTAATTTCAACCACTTCTCGTTTCCAAAATTTTGTGTATCCCATATATTACATAAACCGCAATTTATAAAAATGTGTCTACAGTTTGCAATCCAAGGAAATTTTTTTCTAAAATTATTTTCACTTAAGTTTTTTGAAAGATTATATGTAATATTGTATAATAGAGACGACAATTTCTTTTGATGATTATTTACATCGTGCTTTTTTAATCTAGCCCAAAACATGATTATTCTTTCGTTTATATCAATAGATAGCGGCAGGCAGCCTGTTTCTCCGTACACCATATAATTTGGGGTGGATCTTTTCATATTTAAAATATACTTTAAAAATTTTAATTGGACTCGTTCAATCACTTCTATATTACCATATCCCCATATTTCCGCCCCATAAAGAAGAATAGGTTTTATTGTTTTATTAAAAAGATCTATTTGGATATCAATTGGTAAACTAAGTCGATTTGAGTTTCTTATTAAACTATACATTGCTCTAGTAGCTTGTAATGCTATATGCTTTTTAGTTTTAGTATATGATCCACTTTTACAAAATAAAACTCCTAGATACTTGTACTCCGTTACTACCTCTAATTTTTCGTTGTTCAAGATAAAATTATAGTTTTGTTGTCGTCCTTTAGAGAATATTACGATTTTAGATTTAGATGTATTTACAGTAAGTTTCCATATTTTACAATAATTTTCATACAAATGTAATGATTTTTGAAAATCTTCAACCGATTCAGATAAAATAACAGTGTCATCAGCGTAAAGTAATATAAATATCTTTAAAAAATCACGAATTTCGTCTGCGTTTTGGTCATTTTGTACCGTGATTCCCATAGTGTCATTACTATTTGCAAAATAATCGCTAAGGTCATTCAAAAACATTGAAAAAAGTAGAGGGGACAAATTCTCTCCTTGACGTACGCCTATGTTACTAGGGAAAAAATTTGAAACTTCAAAGTTAACTCTGACACACGATTTAATGTTATCGTACATGTTTTTAATGAGATTTAAACATTTTCCTATTATATTAAGATTAAAGAGCTTTTGCCAAAGACCATTTCTCCAGACTGTATCAAAGGCTTGTTTGAGATCGATAAAAGCACAGAATAATTTATTTTTACTGTTATTAACGTAATTGATTAAATGATGTAATACAAAAATTTGGTCTGTGGTTGAAAACCCCTTCCTAAAACCTGCTTGACTATTATTTATTATATTATTTTCATCTGCATAAGTAGTAAGCCTATTATTTATTATACTGGTAAAAAGTTTTCCCAAACAGCTTAGAAGTGTTATAGGTCTATAATTTTCAGGTTTACTAGCATCACCTTTGTTTTTATATATTGGATTTATTATCCCAATAGTCCACATTTCAGGTATAACACCTTTTTCAAATACTAAATTAAAAAGTTTGAAATACGTATCTTTCATTAAAATATATGAGCATTTTATTTGTTCGTTAACTATTTGGTCTAACCCACATGCTTTATTATTTTTCAACATTTTTACTGCCTTATCAATCTCTTCATATGTTATAGTACAATTGATAGATTCGTTTTGGTTTGATTGCTCATTATTTTCTAGATCAAATGTGTTATTGTCATTAATTGTTCCATCATTTGAAAAATTAACATTTCTGAAAAGTTCATACATTTCATCGATACTTGCTTCCGTTTTGCATTGACTGTTATTATTACGAAGTAAATTCCAATATTTCCTGGGGTCTTTGATTTTTAATTTGCGAAATTTATCAATGTTTCTATTCAAATGTTTATTTTTAAACGAACGCATAGTATTTTTGTATATCTTACTTTTTTCTTTAAGATTATATTTGTTTTCGTCAGTTTTTCTTAATTTATATAAATATTTCGCTCTATGAAAGTTTCTTCTTGCTTTCCTACACTGATATCCAAACCAAGAGCTATTGTTATTTACTACTTTATTGTTGTTTTTAATTTTATAGCCAAATGCTTCCTCAGAAGTTTTAAGAAATAGTTAGGAGATATTTGTAACTAAATCATCTGCATTTTGCTGATTAAAATTGTCGCTATTTTTCAAAATGTCAAGTTTTTCATTTAATTCCTCTATAAGATTTATGTCAAATTTCTGTAAAAAGCTTTCACTTTTCTTATTGTCCCATAATTAAATAGATGGTTCAGTATTATTAACATGTTCAACAATTTCAATTTGGTTTGTATTCAATGTTAAAACAATAGGATTATGTGCATCTGATAAAATGGGACAAAAATCTTTAACAGTAAGATCGAGTACATTTTTAAACAGATTTGAATTACATATAAAATAATCGACGGTACTGGTACCTTTACAAGTAGTACTTCCGGTGTAATCGCCAGAAGTTCGACCATTTAATATATACATATTATTTAATTGTAAAAAGTCAATAAATCTATTACCGTAACTGTTATTATGTTTATCGGTGTTATAACGTTATAGCTTTACATTTTGTGCATTTTGAAATTTACTCATTTCAGTATCAACCCACCTTACACGTCCTTGCTTTGATCCTTACTTCACAATTAGTTCGTACTTTCACAAGTATCACAACACAAACACGTGTAAAGGATATGTGATTTACATGCGCACAGAGGCAGACAGCTCGTGCTTTAATCCGATAAAATGTTATACCTCCACAAATAGTCCATGAAAGGTCCATAATTATTCAATTGGTCCGTGCTTAAATCTTGTAAGGGTCATTTTAAAACATAAATTAGATGCTCTTAATCCATTTAATCAAAAAGGATTTAATCAAGTAGAAAAATTAACATGCTAGTGAAAGGTCTTCCTTACATTATTTTCCTTCAGTGCATGTAAAGCAGGAGTGAGAAAAATCGTTTTAAATTAGTCAAAATTGTGTCTATTTTTACCTCTGTAACAAGAGTTTCTTCAAATTCTGTTTTATCATAAACCCATTTCTCACACTCATACTTATCAGCGTTGATTGGATGACTGTTGTTGTCATAGTTACTAAAATTTCTGGGGAAAATGTGACATTTGTCGTATTTAATATCGTCATCATCTGACTGGGGAATTGTTTTGTTTATTAAAACAGAGTGTCCTTGACTTTGGACGGCATATGTGTCGTTGTCGTAACCTGGTATTGCGCATCTGAAAATGAAACATTACCGAATTCTTTTATAGTTATCTGCATGCTACTGATAAGACATTTACAGAAATAATAATTGTCATATATAAGTGTTTAAGGCAATTTATGATCAACTTGAATTAAATAATGTTATTTTCATAACCTACCGGCCGTTTATTGACGGATTTGTAACATGGAATATCTCTTAGTATGTTATTTAATATACGTGAACATTGCACGAAAAAGTAAAAAAATCTTCTGGACCAAACTATTCCCCTGCTTTTTAGTTTAGGTTTGTTTCACTTTTCAATTAAGTGTTAATTATGACAATTTCTTTCAGTCACAATATCAACAATATTTTTACAATCCGCACACAGGAAATATGTGGAGGATATTCAAGTTTTTTCTAAAAATGCAGAATTTATTTTCATCGAGTGTTATGAAAATAAATATTTCACAAATGGCAGTATCCACGAGTAAAATTTGATAAATTTCATACCGCAAGATGAACATAAATCCTGTTATTATTGGGAAAAAACAACTTGATTTTCAGTTTATTATATACATTTTTCACTTTTTTACCTTACTATTCGAAATACTTTCCATTTGTATTTGTGTCTTTTTAGGCCGGCAAGATATTAGTGAAAATACGGAAAATTATGTTTCACTGCAGAGAAAAATAAATTTTTACAGTGAAAATACGGAAAATTAAAATACGCATTTTATTTCATCCATATTTCATTTATAAGTATTAATAAATGGATTTATTCACTTTAAAATGCCACAGTTTTCGAAATAAGTATCATTTTTATTATGATACAGCGCATGTTATTGTATGTGTAACATTTTGAACCATAGTTATTTTCATGGTAAGAAGTAATAATACTATGAAATAGTACAACACGAAATTTGACAGCTATAACGTTCCATACATTTTTTAAAGGTTAATGATAACAAAAATAGGTTTAAATCCATACCTGTGATGGGGATTTCCTAATACAAAAACCGAAATTAGCATAAATATTCCACAGTTTATAGTCGGCAAGCAAACTAGAAAGTAAAGTACTTTCTGATATGTCCCAAATTCACCAATTTCTGTCAAAACTTCATCAAATTTCATTTTTGTTTTTCACTTTCTTTCATAATTTTTACATAAAATCAGTTGTATTTTTTCATTCAGTAGGTCAAATTTAAAATATTAAAGTATACCTTTATAAATTTGGTTTAAAAGTCGTACTATTTATATTCATCACATTTTTGATATCGTATTGTATATAAAACATACAATATAATCACGCTTGCACATTATCAAATATTACTGTTTAAATATGGGTGATAATTTGATATGCAGCATATAGGAAGTTTGAAAACGAGATAAACTATCCATTACATTTAATAACTTAAACAAATAAACGTTTATCAAGTAAATTAGTTACGGAGACAAATTCAAAATGGTCTAAAATACTTATGACATTTTATTGTGCTCGATTACTGTAAATATGGTAGTAACCTATCAAACCTGAGCAGCCAGAGTACATAATGTCTGGGTTCGATCCAAAAGTTACTTACATTCTTTATAATAAAAGGAATATGGACTTTCATGTGGTTACGTACACATGGCATGTAATAGAATTTTTGGCATGAAATAATTTCTGTATCAATGCAATCACACAAAAAAAACTTGTGCTCTTTTTGAGTACGTCGCTTAGGTTTTCTCTGTTGACCTACAAAGGTTTCGAATCACTAGCCTCATTGTCTTGAGTGATGTCTTTTATGGAACTGCCCGTATAACATGTGTAATGCGAAATATATTCTGGTGTATATTTTATTATGAAATTGAGTTTCTCTCAAGTGTGACGTGCATACATGTACACACATTTAATTTACATGTATATTCACAGAAACTGACGTGCGCATTACTTATTAATTAAAACATTTATTTATTTATTTATTAAGACAACTATTATAACACAAATACAAGATTGTTTTTATATTTATTTCAGAAATAAAAAATAATCACTAAGTTACAGATATACAATGCATTTAAGCACATTACTAGCTATAGATTACCTGAGATTATCACATCACATGATGTTACATATCTTTATTTTGATATAACCATTACCTATTTCTATAAATAGCACAGCCTCAGCGTTTTCGGTGTTTTCTTGTTTTACAATATCATGTAATGATAACATCTTACACTCGTTGTCATTTCGAATACACTTACTTTAAGTTCGTTCAAATCATATTATAAAGCTCGTCACATGCTTGCTTTATGTCACTTTCATGCATAGTGTCTATATAAAATGATAACTCATATAAGATCGGTGTATTTAGAACAATCAAATGTCGACTAAGGTAACAAACCAATGAGTATTTATTGATGCATGTTCATGTTAAAGAGCCAGACATGAAATTTTATTGACATAAACTATACAGCACAGGTATTGTATCAAACAGTTTACATTATACATATAACATAGATTTGTTATACATGTATATGATCTGATAATAGTGAACACAATTTATATTATAATATAGATCTATTTCGTGGAGGATGAATAAGACGTTTTAAAAATTCAGTTTCATACACACACTAAAAATGAAGTAAATATAGTTCAAATAAATTAAGTGTACATGTATATAAATTAAAGCAAAGACTTCCTGTCCGTCTGTCTGTAATGTTATAGGGCAGATAAGTAAATGACTAAAAGCTATGGACGAACTTTGATACAACTTGCTTAACTGTACCTTTATAAATATATATAACACTGTACAATAAAACGGATGGATTCATAAACGCTTGTTGAATTCAAAACGCACCGTGTTCGAGCAACATAAAATCTAGGACATTTTTTGACAAAGCGTATAGGTCACATGCATATATCCAATTCCTCGGTAGAGCCTACTGATTACATAGTAGATCTAAATTTTAGTTTTTTAAGTCATTTTACTAATGTTACATATTTATATAATTTTGACAACAAGTAACATTTTTACAACAATTTATAACATTTATGTTTCCTCCTTTAAATGTCTGTAACATGATGAATTTATAAGATCTCTATCGTGGTTTTCTCTTGTTGCCTTATTGACTGCAATTGAAAAAAAAGAAAATATAAAGAATACATGAAAATGAGGCTTCAAGGAATATGAACTTAAAATATATGTTGCCATACTAAAATCATAATAAATCATATAGAGCTTCCTGTTATTATTTCCATACAATTTGGCATGTATATAAAACTAATTAAATTTTTTAAGATAGTGTGCAAAAGGTAGGTTCATGCATAAAATGGTGATGTTTTAAGGTGACGGTAACTTAATAATAAATACTTTCCAGTGCCGTCAATGCATAGTCTCAAACAAACCGAACCTGCACTGTTTTCATTTTTGTCGTTTTAGGGAGCAATTTAGGGATTCCGTTTTTCTTTACTTTAATGATAATTTAGTCAATGCCTGGACATTAAATGTAAAACGTTTGTTAAATTCGCTTGGTTTACAATATTTGTGGGATCCAAACTTAGTATTAAATAATTCTCAATTAAATAGTATTATACAACGTATTAAAGATCAAAATATGCAAAATTGGTATGCTGAACTGCGTGTATCTAGAAAATTAGAAGTTTATAAAGAAACTAAAACTGATTTTGGTTATGAAAAATATCTTAGTATTATAACAAATGATAAACATAGAAAATCCCTTTCAAGATTTAGATGTTCGGCTCATAGATTAGCTATAGAGGAAGGTCGCTTCAGAAATATAGATAGAAACAATAGATTATGTGTGAAATGTAATATGAAAGTGGTTGAAAATGAGTATCATCTGTTATTGATATGTCCATATTATTCTGATTTAAGAGCACTTTATTTACCAAGATACTATTATACTTGGCCAAATATAAACAAATTTAAAAGTATAATGACTGCTTCTTCTAAAAACGTTATTATAAAATTAGCTAAATATATTCACTTATCATTTGAAAAAAGAAATACTGTCTAGTTTTCTGTTAATATTTTTTTCTTTAATATTAAACAATATTAAACAATATTAATTTGAAAATCAATGTTGTTCTTTGTGTTTCACTGTTATTTGCCTGTAATTATATAGCTATGTTAAATCCATCACCATACTTTTCTGTACTTAAATATTATGTATGTTTTGTACATGTATTTATTACAAAATTTGTAATTGTATATGCAATGTTTTATGTTAAATTATAAACAGCCATTCATATAACTTGGCGATGAACGTGTAAAATGTTTATGCCAATAAACTATTTGACTTGACTTGACTTGCTAAAACTCGCATTGAGCCGACTACACTTGAGTGATTCCCTTTGCATAAATTTACATTCTTGTATAAATTTTATCTACAATGTATTTAATAATAATTACATGTATTTTATAGAGTTTATATCATGTATATTCGTCCCTACTTAACTTACTTACATGCAACTTGGAAAGTTTTCAGCATCATCTATTGTTTCCGGTAGACGTGTATGGGCTGTTTCCGGTAGTCGTAAAGATAGAATGCCAGCAGAAAGACTGAGTGACCCAAATATAACCAATGGCAACGCACGCCCCAAATCACCTTTTATTACAGTATTCTGCAATCATATAAATGTTATTCTTTTTCAGTTCTCGCCTAGTTTGATATAGGATGTCACAACATAAATAATTTATATTTAGCATACAAATAACTTCAGACAAAATAATTTGTTAAATCTAAAGTGATGCCACGATCTGACGGTCTGGTTGCGGAAACCTGATATTGTGAACATTTTCCGTAAATCTTGTAGGTGTAACTTTCTTTATAATTTGGATGCAATTTAAATGTGACCGTCCGTAGGGCCATGTTTTGGCTTCCATATGCATATACGCCTTATAAAAATAAGAAAAGAGTATTGAGTTCACCAGCGAGTGTATCGGGGTAAGATTTTTATCAATACTCAATTTAAGTGTATATTCAAATAGCTAAAACAAGTATTTGCGAATTGAAGAAATTGTTTACGCCCAGCCTGTTTAACGTCAGCTCGTTGACATCATCAAGAATCAGTCTTTAAAACAGCATAATTTTTAAAAAAAGTTTATCCTTGAAGATTTACGTACCAACCCAGCTATGTAAGGAGCACATATAACACCAAACCGTGACAAACATGAACTGGTTCCTATCCCAGAATTCCTCACTACAGTAGGATATAGTTCCGCGGAGAAAACGTAAATCACTGTAAAAGTACCTGACACACACATTTTGCCGATCATTGCCAGTGCAATGGTGGCTGCCTCTAATTCTGTTACAAAAAGATGAAGGAATACATATTTAAATTGATATTTATTTTTACTATACAACACGTCAACTAGTAAATTAAAGACATTTGTGCTTATTGTTTGTTTTCGTGTATTTTTTGTTTTCGTGTTGCTTTCAAGTGTGTTATTTGGCCTTAATGTTCATTATTGTATTTTGTAATGTTACGGTTGAGTGCACATCTACTTTCATAACTACAAGAGCAACCTCTGACGGAGTAGAGATTTGTTACGTTCGCTTGTTGAGGTCGCAAGTTCGAAACCCAGCCACTGCGGGATCATTTCTGAAGCAGTTGCATATTTCTGTCACGAACTATAAACATTTGTTTGACCTTTCTTTGTTTTAAATTACGATAATTCCAATTTCAATTTTTGCATTCCAAATAGACATAGGCTATCAACGCATTTACTGCAATGTTCTGGAAAAACATATTTTGATCTGAACAGAATATACAATAACTGTTACCTGAAGCGAGCTACCAGGCTCATATGGAAGATTTCGGCCATTTTAATTTTTTAGGAGTATAACATTAAAAAAATAGTATGGTTGTTAGCCTATATTCATGAAACTTAGAAAGCGCCAATTGTGTTGTTTCTATGACAAAGTTACGCTGGTTTATTGAATTAACTTTTTAACATATCATATTACAAATTTTGTTTGGTATCTTACTTTCTCCTCCGTATATCCTTGTAAAGAGAGTTGCAATACACGACAATCCACCCATAAAATAAAATCCAAGAAGGAGTCTTTTTCTTCCCAGACGGTCGAAGAAGTACAAGCAAATGATATAAGCGGGAAATTCCGACAATCCCTGTAGCAGAAAATTGAGGTAGAAATCTCCACCGAGGTTGCCGGTATTGAGCGAAAGTCCATAATATACTGTTGCTATCACTACCCTTGTAAATAAAAATATAAAAAAAGATTACGTTTATGTGTGTTTATGTGCTGTTTTATCATATTAAGTCACCTTGACACTAGAAGCACGGCGAGTTTCAGGCTTTGGTGCTGGAATTAAACCTCATATACTCCTTTAGGGGTTATACCTAGCAAGGTTGGCCATCTGAATATAAAATTGGCTATCCGAAAACTAGTTACTAGTAGATAAAAACATGCCCAGTATACAGGCAGAGCTTTGACTTACAGAGGTGTGCGGTAAGTCACTGATTTAACCCAGTCGGCTGTTGTGACCGAATAGCAATAGCAATGTTATAGCACTTCAGTGTTAAATTAAAACACTGCCCACAAAGTCTTATAACAGAAGCAAATTACAAAAATAAATTTAAAATATCAGTACATAAAGTCAAGTATCCTTCAATAAATAAGAAATTCTTCAGTTGGTATAAAAACGTTAAGTGATTTCTCAAACTTTTTATGTTCTACTTTCGTTTTAGAACAAACATGTAGCCTACAATGTATACAAGAAAATATATGTTATAAAAGTTTAATGTCTCACCAATTGTAAAATATTATCAAAGTTCTGATAGCTAATTTTCTTGACCGGAATAAATGCCATATTCGTTCCGTGTCATTACCCGGGTCACACTGATCTAGGAAATCATCAGGGAGAGTCACTTTATTCACTTTAGCTGCTTTACGTAAAATCTTTTCAGCATCCTCTGCCCTTCCTTGAGACAAAAGCCATCTTGACGATTCAAGTAACAACCTGGAAAATTGGGGCTAGTTTTAAAATCAGCGCTTATGCAAATAATGTAAATACAAAGTTATAAACCACAGACATTTGTCATGTAAATAACGATAAAATAATCGAAAAATAATTTCAGCACCCGTTAATTAATTATAGATAAAAAGATTCTTTATTTTACCATTACTGGCAAGACAAAGGAGCCGAATGTATGTGAGACAAAACGGAACTATTTGCAAAGGGGCTTTACTCCAAAGCTGGTTTCTAATTGTTTGTAGAGTAAATGCCAGGTAGCATAAGCAAATTGAAACGTGTTATGGTACATATCCTCATTAGATATAACAAAAATTGTGAGTTATCGTCAAAAAGCTTTCAAAATAATAACAATATCAATAATCTTATTTATTGCCTTGCGTCTTGCAATTATCGTTTCCAAAAAAACACGATGACGAACAAGTTGATCTGACTTTGTTGATGTACCAACATTTATTGATCTATTCAGAATGTAAGAACTTCGTAAGTTTAAATTGCCTTTACTTCTGAAAGATACACAAAGACCTTCTGAAAATCCATTTTTTTTAAAAACAAAACCACCTATAGAAAACAATCTTCCCTACCAGTAATATGGCAGATATAAAGCTATGGGAACTGCCATTATAATCTGAAGTGTCCTCCAATCCCTAACCAGATAAGCCACGCCTGATAATATAATTAGTCCAATGGCAAACCATACCTGCCAGAATACTCCCGCCCACAATCGTTTATTCGGTCCAACCATTTCCATTGCTTTTAAGTATATTTTAATACATGCATGAGTAAAATACGCTTTTGAAAATAGTGTATTAAATGTTTTAAGAAATAATAAATATTTTCAATTGTTATAATTTCCATAATTCCACGCTTTTGAAAAAAAATGTACCGAACTTTATTTTTTTAATAGTGATAATTTCCACGCTTTTAAAAACAGTATTTTCAAGAAATAATTAATATTTACAATCGTTACAATTTCAATAAATCGAAGCTTTGTATGGCCAGTGTCAATTTTGTTCAAATGTCGTTTTCTAAAAAAATATTATACTATGTATTTTTAACATCATTTTTTCTGGCTGACACATTACAGAATATTTGCTTCATGAATTAAAAGATCTAAACTCTCAAGGGAGAGAATCACGCTGTTCGTTACCCAAACAGACAAGATGGCGGATGCAGCCAAAAAGTAAGTTTTTCCTTTTCTTTCCGAAATTCGTGATGTTTTTGTGTAAAGGTACATATAATAACCGTCTCCACAATTTTCCTAGCACACAGGATTTTATTTCATGATGTTTCGTCCCGTACTTTATCTGAAATGCGCGTTACCATATTCTTACCTATGACGAAGCCGACAAGGAAGATACCAGCACATCCAGCTCCGGTAAAAAACCTGACTACCAAATATTCAGCGAAGTTGTCCACCCAGTATAACACGATGGTGGAGACGAGAAGAAGTTGTATAGAAAGGTAGAATGCCAATATTCTTCCACGTCTGTCAGATAAATTCAAACATGTTTTTACATTAAAAAGTTAAAAAAATATTCTAACTCAACATTTGATATATCAATTAATCGGTGCAATATGCACACAAAATAAATTGACAAGGGGTATTAATTGGTGCGAAAAAATGGTTGAATGTCTCTTTTATTAATCTTGGCATGTCATGGTAGCTGACACAGGTACTCCATGCTTTCATTATACAAAAATATACCACGTTAAGGCTTCTACTATATTTAGACCAAAGGCTGTTTGTATTCACCTTCACTTCTGGTTAATATATGAGCTATTTACCATTCTTTCGGTATTTTCCGAGCAGGTTTTTCTGCATTAAAAGGAAACTTGAAGAATTTACATAGCAAATATTAATGTTTCCTGGACGAATAACCTTGAGAAAGAATACTTTAAGTTTAATTATAAAACAAACCTGTCAGAAAGCATCCCAAAGATAAAATCCCCGAACAGAACTCCAATGAAGAAAGTCACTTTAGCTATAGACTGCAGATATTCCTTATCACACACCACTGACATCTAAAATACAATGTGAACATTATTCCAGAGGGAGCAAAAATGGTGTTTTCAGATAGCTTTTTAAACTAAGCAAAATAGTTATAGTTGTTAGTCTCTGTTCTTTAGCTATCGGGTACTGAGGGAATCAGAGATCGAAATAGTATTACTTATAATCATATATAAATTTGTTCTTCATAATAAAAAATGCTCAATCATTTCTTAATTATAGACTAGAACTTAACGGGAATTTTATTTCGTATTAACTTATGGAATGTATTATCTCTTAACTTTGCATATATCGACGTCTGTCAAAATCTATTTGAATGCCCTACACATAAAGGTAGCAGATATAATAAAATAGCTTGCCAAATAATTCTTAGAATTTATGTTTCTTTTAGAATAAAGAAAATGATATTGTTGAATAAAGAAAAATATATTAATACTTAGAAAATGCAGTAATACTTAGAAAATGCAGTAATAATTTGAAAATAGTATGCTTTTTAACATTACCTCGGTCACAACATTTTCATGAAAGACTGTCCTATCGTACACCCATTTGTCGCATTTATGTGTAGAAGCGTTGATAGGTCGACTGTAGTTATCATATATGTAACTTGAGTTCGGCGAGAACGGGTACAAGTAACACTCGTTGTATTTAAAGTTATCATCATCCGGGGGCGGGATTGTCATGTTTATTATAACAGCATGGTCTTGGTTTTGTACAGTATATGTGTCATTATCAAATCCTGGAATAGCACATCTGGAAAAAGAAGATATTTTCTTTCTGTGGAAGCTAACATTGAAACTCTTGGCCGTTGTCATATTTTAAAACAGAGACATAGTTATCTATATTTCTGTTTAAAACATTTTGGTTCTCATCTAATTAATCTAAAAAAAAAACGCAACTATAGTGAATTTGGTATTACAAATGCATATTATTTAAACATCATATAAGTGTCATTATAATTTATTAAAAAATGAATAATATATATATATATATATATATATATATATATATATATATATATATATATATATATATATATAACAGAAATTGATATAACCGAGCCAGACGGGTAATATACACACTAAATTTCCCCGTTGGATACCCCACGTTGTAAACGACATGCGCTGAAGTGATGCGCGTACGGTTCGACTTTAAGCGGTGTAAATTCCGATTTACAAGCACTTTTTAACTGTCAAATGATAAATACTTACCAAAGTGGAGTAATGATACATATTCTCATCAGTATTGAAAACAAATATGACCTTGATATTAATTACAAAAAAGCGCGTTCAATAGACTACTCCTTTTCTCTTGTTACCATTCGTTAGGTACAGGAAAAAATACGTCATGTATTTATGTGACGTCATGTTGTGATGAAGGGGTACCTTAAGGGAACCTTATTTCGACGTTTCATTTGAAACAGCAATGATTTGTTAAAAAAAATCGTCTAAACTCGACAGGGGAAGGGTAATAAAATTATTATTTTGGTTTTGGAGTGATATATGTGGATATATTACCTGCCAAGATAAAATATCACCCTCGCCTGACGGCTCGGGTGATATAAAATCTTAGCAGGTAATATATCCACATATACCACTCCAAAACCAAAATAACATATAATATATATATATATATATATATATATATATATATATATATATATATATATATATATATATATATATATATATATATTATATGTTATTTTGGTTTTGGAGTGGTATATGTGGATATATAAATAATATATATATATATATATATATATATATATATATATATATATATATATATATATATATATATATATATATATTATATATATATATATCTAAAATGATACCAAAACTTAATATTTAATACGATTTTGAGTTTAAAGCTTTTCATGTTAGCTCATTTTGCATAATTAAAATGACAATTCTGTATAAAACGAAGGGAGCAAATGATCTGATATTCCGAACACAAGTAATTGATATAGACTTATATAAAGTGATATACAAAGAAAGAATATAATCAGTCCCGTCATGTAAAAAAAAGCTCATTAGAGTCCCTTTAATATAATTATTTAGTAATGTTATATACTATTTCTTGTTCTTAGTTCAGTCTGTTGATATATAACTATTAAAAATATTCTTACTAGACAATGATATTATTTTAAAGTTTCTAAAGCATTGAATGATATTCATTTTCAATTACATTTTGGTTCCACAAATTACTCAATCGGTTTGCATTTTAACGACAGTTTTCAGTAGCACATCGTGTAACGCAGGAATGTGAATACTCGTATAACGCAAAAGTACAGCCGACTTTGAGCAAATAAATGGCGGAAACTAGTGACACGCAATCGCAACTACTCGGCCCTTTCCGCCAGTGTTCGGATAGGTTATTATAGATAATAGCTGAGGCAGTTCCGAATGTAGTAGACTGTTTGAAACTGGTACACATGAAATTTTGCTTGGCCAGAGTTTCTAACTATCATGTAGTATTTGCTTTATTTAGCCATATGTTTCCTTTGCATATCTTGACTAATTTCTTGAGTAAAAGTGCTCATATAAAGACACAAAAATATTCAAGTATCTGAACTGGGATTCGAACCCCTGAACTGACACTTCATAAGCGAACATTTTACCACTGCACCACAGGCTTTCAATATAACTACCGGAAAAAAGCAGGTATAAAATGATGCAAATCATATAACAATCCATTTAAAGAATGTGATGTGAAATACAATTATGTAGAATTTATATGTGTTGACAATGTATGTGATATCAATCCATTTAAATTTCATTCGTTGGCTAGGAATTATTTAAATTATATAAAATTGTTTCCGTAAAAACTTAAAAAATACTCATGTGCTGAATTTTTTTTCTTAATAATCATTTTGCATTTTTTAGCATTATTTAAGCATATATCAGCTTCAGCGACGTTTTTGTTCATCTCAATCAGCTTGTCTTAGGTATGTGATACTACGACGAACGCAAAACAGTAGGTAGGTTGTCATGTTCACAAATGATCTTGAAAAGGAAACACTTTTCTGCCTATACTTTATTGAGATTTTTAAATAAAATGTGCGTTAATTTATTCCTTTCAATTTGATATACTATGAAATAAATTAGTTAATTTACTTACAGTGGTGCTCGTTTCGGTCATAGATCTGCACAACCAAGCGTTAAATTACTATTGCACAATTCCTTCTAGCGCTACAATCATGACGTTCAAATCCAGCCAAATATTTTCTAAGAACGGCATTTTATTTTTACTGGTATTAATATAGTTTTCCAACTTAAACTCGTTTTTTAAAATTACAATAATCAACCACTTTAAAAATGTAGGCTATTCATTTTTGACAATAGATATATATCATGTCAAGGCCAAACTGATATGATTAACAACATGGGTCTCGATGTTTGTACATGTAATTATCATTACAGTACAGAAAGAGAGAAATAATGTTAAATAATACAATCATACTAGGACCTATAACAATACTAATACCACAGAGTTGATGCTGTTATATGGTCTGTATGCCCCGGCCATTCCCATTTCCGCCCGGTATATCTCCCTCAGAAACAAAAGGGAATTATAAATTCTTAAAATCAGGAAACAAGACAATTTATTTACGTTTCTGAAGTAATAATTAACGTTTATATTTATTACGTAACGTACCTGTATACGTATGTATTAGTAATATATATAATTACCTGTGATCTGGATTTCCTAGCAGGAATACGTTGTTCATCATAAAAACCCCTGCGTTAATGGCAGGAAGACCCACGAGGAAGTAGACCCTTTTCTGGTAGGAGCCAAACTCTCCTAATAATACCAATATTTCATCAAACGTCATATTTGCTAGCTAGTCAGTCACTGGTTTAAATTTTTTTTTTGAAATCCACATTTATATATAGAGATCTAATCAGCAGTAGATTTATTTGATATACGTGATATATCGTATTTTGCTGATGACCTCGTTATAATATGTGTGTTACAATAGTTTATTATTGCCGCGTGATCCTTGCTGGAATCTAAATTTGACAAGTTTATCGCATTAGAAGATTAGATTTAGCACTGGTTTTGGGATAGTTTTGAACTATGATCTTCATGTGAGTTACCCATGATTAGATTAGTACTAAGTTTCGGTTTCGATTTACCATCCTGGCATGATTTGTCATTTCACAGAAACAAACAATATTTCATCACATTCATGTGTCGCTTTTGAAACACCATAAAAAGGTATTGACGGCTTTGCGTTATATTTTGACGCTACGTCATTTGCGTTAAACAAGGTGGTTCATGCATGTGACTTTTTGGATATCTTAGTCACTCATTTTCACTGGAATCAAGTTCGATTTTTACCGATATCTTTGTTGTTCCGGAGATAAGCGGAGGGTACCGGGAATTCTAAACTTTATGACATTGTTTTATCTTTAAATAATTTTGTAGATTTTTCCTAAAATCGAAATTTGATTTCCGACATTTCAATAGATAGTACTGTATGGTATCGTAAAGAATTTAAAATATCATAGTTTCAGACTGGGTTATCTTTTGTCCCAGTTTCAGACAATTATAGCTCATAATGCATGCACTAAACACAATCAATTTCTCTATAGAGATACGCTTAAGCTACAGTCTCACTGACATCCCGGCAGAGCCCCGGTAGACGTCTGGGGTGATCCGGGAACGACACAGGTACATCCGTAACTCTGTCGGCAACGTCCGGGATGACCCGGGAACATCCGGCATTTGACCCCGGATGGAATATCACCGGGATGGTCCGGGATGATCCGGGAAGTAAAGCTTTGTCGGCTTCATCCTTAGCTCTGCCGGGAACGACCGGGGTTACACCGGGGAAGCACCGTAGCTCTGCGGCACAAACCGGGGATGATCCGGGGTATGATATAGCCGGTATACATGTAGCTACGGTAGAGCCCCGGTGAATGCTGGCAGAGCCCGATGAATGCCGGCAGAGCCCCGGGGGATGCCGGCAGAGTCCCGGCGGATGACGATGGAGCTACGGTTGATCCCGGTAGAGCCCCGCCAAAGTCCGGTTCATTTCAAAAGAATCACGACAAGTTACGATGATTGCATTGTTTGTATTAAAACCCTTCCCATTTCCCTTCTATCCAGTCTTGCATAAGGATTTTTCAGAAAATCATCATGAATTACTGTTTTGGAATAATAGATATTATATTAAATATATATCAATGTAATCATTTTCGCGCGTTTCAATCCACCGGGGTTCCACCGGGGCTTTGCCTGGATCGTCCAGGGCTCTGCCTGGATCGGCCGGGGCTCTGCTTGTGTCAACCGGGGCTCTTCCGGCGTCATCCGGGAACGACCAGGGAAGCACTGGCATGAACCGTAGCTTCACCATGGCTGCCTGGATGGTCCGGAGCGCATCCTGGAATTACCGTAGTGCTGCCGGGGTTCACCGTAGGGAACGTGTTACAGTATCGCGTTTTTCGGTTACAGTATAGAATTTTCAAGATGGAGGATTATTTATGAGAAGAGAGGTAGGTGATTTTTATTCCGGTCCATACTACAAGTAGTTCAGTTTCTAAAAGATGTGTTTGTGCTTTGCTTGTAAGGAACAGAATCCGGTATCTAGTCATATATTTCTTCAGACTCTGCACCCCAGATTTATCGTTATATTGTCTCATAAATATGCAAATTTGACAGTTTGAAAATTTGAATCGAGAGACCAACGCATTTTTCTCCATTTTTGACATTATTTATGCATGCCTAGAAAAAGTAAATCGGCAAAACGTTAGTCCTATGTGTAAGGAAACATTTATAAAAGTAAATGACCAGTTGAACCTATTTTCCTGTTCGTTAAATGCGTTTGAAAAAATAAACAATGTTACAGTATAGAGCGAGGTGATTTGTGTAGGGTTACAGCATAGACCTATCCGATTTTGTTACAGTTTATAAATACTCAGATTTCGGTTACAGTTTAGACTTCGATATTTTCTATATATACTAGGTAAAATGTATGAATGTTACATAGACTTTTAAATCTCTGTGAGTTTATTTGCCCGATGGCTATTCGTCCGTCTGTCGAACACATATATGTTCAATCTCATCCGCTCAGTATCTACTTGACTAAATGTGATGAAATTTACAATACTTTCTACCAATTAGTTGTTCAAATGGTTCCGATTGCAATCGGGGATACGAAAACCCACATTATAGATTTTGAAAAAAAGGCAATGTTTAAAGACCCTTCTCGTCTCGAACTAAAAGCATTCAAATCAAATCATGATCATGGCGTCATTTCGAATGCTTCGTTGTTGTATTTACGATTATAAATTAAATTAAAAGTCGTTTTTTCTTATTTCAGACATTCTGTATAGCAGTTTTCATGTTTCTTAAAAAGAAAATAATATGAAAGTTATAGAGATAATTAAGGTCAGACATAAACATTTTCTTAGTGACTGATGAGGACATATAAGGGGGATAAATATTTAGAACAAGCATTTAGAGTAATAAAATATTGAAAGGTAATCGTCCAGAGACAATAGATTTTACAACATCATAATCTCTTAAAAGTGAGAAAAAAATTTTGTTTCGAAAGAAACTAGAAGTACAAAATAAAAAATAAGTTTGGCAGCAGAAGTCCCGGGTTAAAGGGAACTAACTGTTCGGCCTTCAAATTATTCATTTCAAATTTACTGCCTTTTTAAAGTTGGAAAATCCAGATCATTGAGGGACCTTTGTATTTCTTTGTTTTTTTTGTGGGGAAAATTCCTTTTTTCAAAGGGGGCTAATTTACGGAAGGTCGGTGGTTCTAGTCAAGTGCCCACTCGTGTCTGAAATGTTTCACAAAGGGATTCTGGGGTCTTTCTTTACACTAAAGCAGGAATGTTTTCACATGACCTAAGGGTCGTTGAAACTTAAAATCCAAGAAAGCCAAACGTAACAAACCCTTTTAAATACTTACAAAATACATTATGGTAGATGGAAATTCCAACTTAAAATAAAATTTAAGGTTGAAATATTGCTCACTTAAATATACTGTTTAATCATTCTTAGGGTAGTGCCTGCTTGTTAAGTGTGTCTTTTGACAGCTTATCTATGGTATGCAGGCTTCATAACTTCTCCGTTCTCAAAATTTCATTTTATTTAGTTTCACTCATTGTATTCTCGTTTAGGGCACACGAAATTTTTAACCTGAGGGTAATATGCCGCTTTTCATAGAATGGCAATAACGTGTCACATTGAAGGTTCCATGATAACCGCCATATGAACACATCCACAGATGTTAAAAAATCTAAAGTGTACCAGTTCATGTTTAATGTGGATTCTACTGAAGCCGGTGCTAGGCGGCGTGGACGGTAGCTTGCAGTTAACCAGTACCGTCCATCAAACCGATCCTACAACATTTTCATGTTTTCCGTGTTGGACTTCTGTTAAGGATTCTTTTTTCTCTATTTTATTACTAATAGGCATTATTATAATGTGTAATGAAGTCCAGCAATAATCTTTCTTCCCTCAATACAATTCGATAAAAGTTACTGTTGTTGTCATGAAAACAGTCCTTACTTAGGACATTACTTATTCTGCAAAAAGTCTCAATCTGAAACTTGAAGTAAAAAAAATAGCAAACTATAACTATTCTGCTGAAGAAAAAAAGTAATACAACCTTTCAAGTATGTATTAAATAGAAAGGAATGAGTTATTTCATAAAAATAATGGATACACGAACTTTGTTTGAAATTTGGCAAGTATCTAAACTGTAACCGAATCTGGGTATAAACTGTAACAAAATTGTATAAAAGTCGCTAGGTCTATGCTGTAACCCTTCAAAATTAACCTCGCTCTATACTGTAACATTGTTTATTTTTTCAAACGCATTTTACCAACACGAAAATAGGTTCAACTGGTCATTTACTTTTATAAACGTTTCTAAACACAAAGGACTAACGTTTTGTAGATTTACTTTATCTAGGCATGCTTAAATAATGTCGGAATGGGGAAAAAATGCGTTGGTCTCTCGATTCAAATTTTTAAACCTTCAAATCTGCACATTTATGAGACAATATAGAGATAAATCTGCGGTGCAGGGTCTGAAGAAATATATGACTAGATACCGGATTCTGTTCCTTACAAGCAAAGCACAAAAACATATTTTAGAAACTAAACTACTAGTAGTATGGACCTGAATAAAAATCACCTACATCTCTTCCCATAAATAATCCTCCATCTTGAAAATTCTATACTGTAACCGAAAAACGCGATACTGTAACACGTTCCCTACGGTGGGGTTAGTGTGACCGCAACAATAATTTCACCCCGGATCGTCCCGGATCATCCCGGTAACTTACCGGGGTGGTCCTGGGCTCTGCCGGGAATAACAGTGTGGCAATACCACGTGACATTGACGTCATTTTCGGCATCATTTCCAAGACAAATGTTGCTCGATTCGGAAAAGAAAACAGCCGTAAATATTTTATTTCTGTACCAATTTCTTTGGGATATGGACCAGTCTACGGGGAAAAATATAAGCTTTTTCCATAGATATTTGGATCTTCGTTCGTATATAAAGCCCCACCCCCCCCCCCCCCCCCCCCCCCCCCCCCCCCCCCCCCCCCCCCCCCCCCCCCCCCCCCCCCCCCCCCCCCCCCCCCCCTTTTTATCAAACAACTTTTGCCTAACCTTGGAAGTTGCTTGTTTTAGAGCGGGCTTCAGTTGCAAGCTATTTCGTTTTCTGGCGTTATCTGGCACGCCCGGCAAACTGTCGCTCCACTTCAAAATTGTGGTGTACGGTAAAACGAGCGAACGGCATTTCCGAGATAGAGCGGAAGGCCGATTTAAACGCCTAATAGTAAGTATTGTTTATGGTTTGTCTTGTTATTCATTTAAGTTGTATTTATTCGAATAACGGAAAATGTAGTTCCGTGTAGGATTGATTTAGGCTTCCAATGATCTAAGCTGTTACAAAAAGAAAATTATATTAAGCCCGGGAGAACTTTTCTCCCTGACGAAGCGAACGACGATTTGTTAGAATATTGAACTTCCCAAACCATAGAAATGCCATACCCTTCAGA